AACTCACAAACTAGGCAAGCACTCTACCAAACAGCCACACACCAGTCCAAGGTGTTAAGGCTTTTGGGGGCCACAAAGGTAGGGTTAAATTCAAGCACAAACTAGTACAGTTAGAAACAAAGGGGCTGACTGAGTCATTCCCTTCCTTCAACTGTAAACCGCCACACCACCCTAGTGATTATCCATGCTTCCAGAATCCTGACAGGGAAGTTGTGTGGGCCACACTCCCTTCTCTCCATCCAACCATAAGCACATCACCATCCTAATGATCGATCCAGGTTCAAGTTTAGGAGGTCACGCAAATTACTGACATCAGAGAGACAGTGGAAAGCACCTTGATCAAAGGTGTCTGATTCTGTAAATACGGAAGCCTGAGTTCTCAAGCCCTTTTTTTTCTTTCTCTTCGCCCTTCTTCCTGTTCCTGCTACCAGCTGGCGATCTTCAATAAACACCTACTTACTACACACTACAAGATAAGTGCTTGGCAATTCTTTCCTTGTCCTACACAAGAACTTGGACTATTTTTTTGCCCACTCAACTGTAACAAAACCATGGGGGGACAAATCTTGGAAGAGATTTGTTTTTCCACCCAAAATGTCTTTACCCTGAGGCTGTGGGAATGCTACCAGGGTTTGGGGTGCTAGAGTCTCTTTCTAGAGGTGGTTTCTAGGCTCTTTTTGCCCTGAACAAAGAATTGGTCAAGATAGGCATAAACAGTAGTAAAGCAAACATTTATTAAAGGCAAGAAAAGAAACATACTCTGTAGAGTGAGTTTGGGATAAGTAAAACTAGGGGAAAACCATGGCCTCCAGCTTGAGGGTGGGCTGTCACAAAGGGACAAGGTAGACAGCAGAAGCACGCTGGCAGCTTGTCTTCTTTATATCTCCCACTCCTGAGCCCAGGTCTAGACCACCCTATCAGAAACCTGCTCAAAGTCCTGGGGCAGGGCTCTGGGACCTGTTCTGTGTCCTGGGATTTGTAAGCAGCAGGTCACACCTACTTTTCCAGCCAGTTTTAGCCACGCCCTATTCTCCTGCCTGGAGAGGTCACAACCTCAGGCCACTATCTTGCTAGTAGGTAGGGCTGTGGGCCTTATCTCCTGGCCACCACATCCCAGAGAACAATATGGACAAAATTCATGACTTCCTGCAATTCTTAGCAACACCTGGGGGAAAAAACTGCCTTTGGCCTTTACTTATCTCTAGGGTGCCCTGATTTTACTTCACTTTGGCCTCTGAATACTTCTATTCCTGCCAGCTCAGCAGTGCTTTCTAAGCTCTTTATTGGAAAACTGGGGTGTAGGATGTTTGCCTAGCACCTATGAGGAATTGGGTTTGATCTCCAGTACCAAAAAGCCAAAAAACAAAACAAAAAACTCCCCACAAGACAGACAAGTTGTGCACAGCTGTAATCCTAGCACTCCCTCTGAATGCTGAGGCCAAAGAATTGCCATTCAGGCCAGCCTGAACTACATAGCCAGACCTTGTCTCAAAAAAACAAACAAGAGGGCCGGTGATTTAGCTCAATGGTTCTACCTCCTGCCTTGAAAGTGCAAGGACCAGAGCTCGATCCCTGGTACCAACCCCCCGCCCCCCAAAAAACCAAGAAGGGCCGGGGATTTAGCTCAGTGGCACTGTGCCTGCCTCAAAAGTGCAAGGTCCTAAAGATTCCCAGTACCAGAAACAAACAAACAAAAACAAGCTGGGTGTGGTGGCACATGCCTATAATCCTAGGATTTGGGAAGTCTGAGGCAGGAGGATTACTGTGAGTTTGAGGCCAGCCTGGGCTATATAGTGACTTCAAGGCCAGCATGAACTACATAGTGAGATCCTGTCTCAAAAAAAAAAACAAAACAGAGCTGGGGATTTGGCTCAGTGGTGCCGCTGGCTGCTTCTCAAGCACAAGGTCCTGAGTTCGATCTCCGGTGTAAAACCGAGGACCTTACCAAACGCTCCGAGGAGCTGACTGCAGCGAAGAACACCCGGGAAGGAACATACCGGACAAGTTGGAAAGTAAAACAGACCTTTATTAGTCTGGCCAGACGGCACTCCCAAAGCAAAGTAGCTTAGAGAAGCAACTGGCTCAGCGTCTGAGGCTGTTTTTATAGAGGGTTGCAGGGGAAGTTAGCAAGAGGAAAAAAATGTTGATGGTCAAAAGATGTTTGCAGATTGTCTTATAGATAGCTGTGTCTGGAACATCGGTTTCGGACAAACAAGGAGATGGGCAATTCACTTAGGAACTCTATGTTTGTTACAGATTTTATCTAGTGTCCCAGAACTAACAAGCACATTTTAACCATTAACTCACAGTCACTATGTTGGGGCTGGGGGAGCTTTTATGATTACAGAGTTATGCGGTCCCACATCCGGTACAAAAAATAAATAAGTAAAACAAAAAACAAAAAAACCCCACCACCAACAAAATCCCACAAAATTCTTATCAGTTAGAATAAAAGGATGGTCTCCTCATTTGGTCAAGAAAATCTGCCCACCAGGTGATGATGTGAACCTGTAATCCCAGCTGGGAAGCTGAGAAAGAAGGATCACAAATTCAAGCCAAGCCTGGGGAATTTTGCAATTTAGCAAGACCCTATTTAAAAATTAAAAAAAAAAAAAAAAGATGTAGCTCAGTGTGAAGGACCTAGGTTCAATCCCTAATACCACAAAAATAAAAAAGAAAATCTGCCAAAAATGTAAGGGAAGGGCCAGAGATTTAGCTCAGTGGTTCCACCACCTGCCTCACAAGCACAAAGTCCCGAGTTTGATACCCAGTACCAAAAAAAGGGAGACATCGTCCTTAAATTGTGAAGCATTTTCTTTCCAGGATCTGAAATGAGGCAAATGTGACTTCTCTTCATCAGTTTTATTAATCTCTGTCCTGGAGATCCAAGGATGGAAACCCAATCCCATTACTTAATGACTCACTTTAATGAACTCACAGCTGAGTACCAGTGTTAGGCTAATGCTCTACCACTGAACTACCCCTCAATTCCCTTTTTTTGGGGGGGGTGGTACCGGGGATCGAACTCGGGTCCTTGCGCTTGCACAGCAGGTGACGAAACCACTGAGCTAAATCCCTGGCTCCCCCTCAGTTCCTTTTTAAAATTTTATTTTGAGATAAGGTCACCCTAAATTGCCCAGTCTGGCTTCAGGCTTGGGATCCACTTGCCTCGGGCTCCCAAGTAGTTGGGATTACAGGAGTACACCACTGAACCTGCCATAATAGGAGTCACACAAACTTTATGTGCCTCCTCTGCTTGGAAGTTCTCAAAAAGTATATAAGAACTTGTGACAAGACAAGAAACACCATTTTCCAAGTGAGAAGCAGAAGATGCTACTGGGAAAGTCACCCCACTTCCACCCCTGCCAACCTCAGCGTGACCCCAACAGCATGGCCCCAGCTGGTTCCCTCACCCTGCCAGATCACAGCAAAAGATCACACACAGCCTTGTGAACCATCTGGTGTGTCAATTTCAAGTTGTCATTTGATTGTTTTGGTTTTTTGCAGTGCTGGGGACTGAACCCAGGGCCTTGTACACGCTAGGCAATTTCTCTGCCACTGAGCCACATGCCCAGCCCACGAATTGTCATTTGAAACACATCAGGCAGCTTGTGGCATTTTGCCTGACTTTCGTAGATGTAATGCCCAAAGTCTGGTGTCCTGTAAAACAACTTGGTCTTAGGGTACCTGAATCATCAGTCACCCTACTTTAGGGCCCCAGGGCAGGCTTGGGGCAGGAGCTCTTCTGCCTGGGCCTGAGTCCTTATCACAATCTCCTTTTCTGCAGTCTCTGAATCCAACTTCTTCCTCTCATCTGTAGGAAGAAGAGTTTGTCCTCTGCCAACCCCAGGGAGGAGGACCCTTCCTGGTGCCCCTAGTGGCACCTGGCTGCCACCTCACTATCAGGCTGCAAGCTCTGCCGAGACGGAGGAGGATGGGGAGGTGGACTTCTCCCTCAGCCTCAGGTGACAGTTGCTCTCCTAATATGCAGGCCTTGGCCCAGGTGAAGCACACAGCACAATTACACCGTTGGACTCATCACCAACCTCTGAGCTGCATCTCCTGGCTGTGTCAGGGCAGGCTGTGTGTGGGGAGGGTCTTTTAAGGAAATGGCCCACACCTCTGGTCTCAAAGTATTTCAAGCAAATGACTCCCTTTTTTGAGGATCCTAGAAAAATTTCTACCTTGATCCTAATGACACCAAGGTCAGGAGCATTGGCTTATTGTTGGAGTCATGTTTTTTTTGTTGTGTAAGACCGAGGGCCTTATCAAACGCTCCAAGGAGCTGACTGCAGCAAAGAACACCCGGGAAGGAACACACCGGACAAGTTGGAAAGTAAAACAGACCTTTATTAGTCTGGCCAGACGGCACTCCCAAAGCAAAATAGCTTAGAGAGGCAACTGACTCAGAGTCTGAGGCTGTTTTTATAGGAGGTTGAGGGGGAAGTTAACATATAGAATTAAAGAAAAGGGGACAGAGGTTAGTGGTCGACTGTCACGTATTGATGGTCAGCAGACATTTGCAGCTTGTTCTAAAAATTGTGGTGCCCAGAACATCAGTTCCGGGCAAACAAGGAGTTGAGTAGTTTACTCTGGGACTTTAGGTCTGTTAACAGATTTTTATCTAGTGTCCCAAAACTAACAAGCATCTTTATCCATTAACTCACATTTAATCACAATGGGGCTGGAGAAATGGAACAAAGGTTATGCAGTCCCACAGTTGTTGTTTGTTTGTTTGAGACAGGGTTTCACTGTGTAGTTCAGGCTGGCCTTGAACATGAAGATCCTCCAGTCTCAGCCTCCCTAGTGCTGGGATTCAGGAATGTACCACCATGCCCAACATTTTTGTTGTTGTTGGGTTTTTTGCCATGTGTTGGAGCAATGCTACATAATTCTAGGGAAAAATCATTTGAGTAGGTCTAGTTCTCCAGCCTACAGGCCAGCTATGACATTCCAGACATAATTCCATTTTGGCCTTGGGTCACAACTGAGACCTGAGTGATCCCCGGATGCTGTAATGCTCCAGGACAAGACCACACCTGCGGGAGACACCAGGGAGGAACCAAATCTTCATCTGCATAGTTCCTCATTGTTCTTAGATTTCCACTGCCCCCCAGCCTTTTGTTACACCTTGTTTATCCCAATGTGAAGTACTGAACTCTGCATTTTCACTTGTTACTTTTGTTTCCCCATGTACTGAATAAAAAGTGCTGCAAGCTAGGGGGCTTTTGTCTTTGCCACCCAGAGCAGCACTGATCAGACCCAAAGCTCAGCTTCTTCCCAGTCTCATTGTCTACCTTTCCTGTAATTCGTCGTGTGCTGCCTTGGCTCACAGGAGACTAGGACTTACTGCAGAGGTTCTGGTAACGTCCCCTTCCCCTGTTCCCTACAGCCATGTATTCTTTTTTTTTTTTTTTTTTTTTTGGTACCAGGGATTGAACTTGGGACCTTTCGCTTGTGAGGCAGGCAGCAGAACCACTGAGCTAAATCCCCGACCCCTTTGCCATGTATTCTTTTAAATATCTTTAATTCTTTTGTGGAACAGGGAAAAAAGGGGTTGAATGATTAGGATACTGATGCTGGAGGAGTCCCAACCCTGGCTCATTCCCTTACAGAGATTCACCTGCTAACTGGGTGAATGACTTCCATTAGCATGGGATGCTGGGACAGCTCAAAGTGGCCAGTCCCAATGTGAGGTCTTCCGACCAGGTGCCTGTTCCCTGCTGGGCCCTCTCTCCTTCTCCCTCCTCCACATCCAGCTCTGCTTCTGCCCCCTTTTCGTCTCTGATATATTTATGAACCTGCCACCATCTTTAGCCCAGCTCCAAACTCAGGCTTCACAGTTCATTCAACAGTTGTCCCATGCACCTGACCTGGTGCCTGAGGAGGGGGACACAGAGACAGAACTAAGGTCCTCTGGCCCCAGAGGGGCTGCTCACCCACACGTGTGGATGTCAGTTCTAAACCCACGGACGCCAACCTCCCCCTCACCCAGAGGACTGAGTCATCTCAAGTATTTCTTCTAGATTTACCATGTGTCAGGCACAGTTCCTGAACTTGGGCTACATCAGTGAGCAAGACTCTGAGGCTCCCTGTCCTGGGAAGACTCAAATACAGTAAATGTAACATCAATGAAGTGTGTAATGTCTGAGAAGGTGGCAGTTGCTATAGCTAAAAAGATAAAAGACAAGATGAGGAGGATGAGGAGTTTTGGGGCTGGAGCCCCTATTAAATAGGCAGTTTTGGGCTGGGGCGGAGCTTGGTGATGGAGCATTTGCAGAGTGTGTGAGGGCCCTGGGTTCCATCCCCGGCACCACATTAGATAAATAAATAAACAGGCAGTCTCTGAGGGCTCGCTGAAGTGGTAAGATTTGTACAAAGACTTAAAGAGATGAGGGAATAAAGGGCTGAGGATTTAGCTCAGTGGCACCACACCTGCCTCGAAAGCACAAGGTCCTGAGTTTGAACCCCAGTACCAGAAAAAAAAATCTGGAGCCAAAGAGATCAGGAAATAAACCAGTCATATCTCAGGGAAACTTCTAGGCCCATGGCTCTTAATGGCAATTCCTACCTTCAAATCCAGGGTGTTTTCCGCTGTCTGGAGACAGTTTCACATAGGAAGGGGTAGGCGTGTACTCCTGGCTCCTAAGGGCAGAGTCAGGATGCTGCTAAACATCACACCATGCACAGAACAAACCTCCACCACACAGAATCACTGGGCCAGTCACAGTGCCAACACTGAGAAGCCCTAGTCCGGCAGAGGAAGCAGCCTGTGCAAAGGCCCAGTGGCAGGGGTATGCCAGGTGCTCTTGGGACCACACAGAGGAAGTGAGAGGGAGGTGACAGGAGATGAAAAAACAGAGGGAGCAAAGGTGATTATGACTTGGGCAGGGAAGTGCTGTGAAGACCTTGGCTTTACTCCCAGTGACTGGGCCTGGCAGGATCTGGAGTAGTAGAGCTGTCATTGCACTTTCCTGTGCTGAGAACAGACAGGGGAGGGAGGCGTGTCAGAGTAGAAGCGGGAACCCAAGTAGCCAGCTCGGCTTCCTATGCCTTCCCCTTCCCAGCTAATCTCTCTTCTCAAAGTTCAGATCCCGTGTCCCTCCCTTTGGGTCTCAGCTGAGGACCTCACCTCTGACTTCAGAACAAAACCAGCAGCTACATGGCTGTAGTGCCAGCCCTTGGGAGGCTGAGGCAAGAGAATTGTAGTGAGTCTGAGGCATACATAGTGAGCAGGTGAGCTTCCCCACCTGCCTTGGTCACAGCTGTACCCCTGGAGCAGACAGCCCATCGTGAGAGTACAGATCCCCTTGTGGGCCCTTTGCTTCCCACCTTTTTCTGTTGCTGTGCCTCCTCTTCAGCACTCAGGCATACTCTTGTCAAAACACCAATCAAGGGTTGGGGATTTAGCTCAGTGATTCTGGCACCTGCTTTGCAAGCACAAGGTCACAAGTTCAATCCCCAGTACCAAAACAAACAAACAAACCAACAAAACACCAATCAACCAGTCGGGCTTGGTGGCCTACACCTGTAATCCAGTACTCTGAGAGGCTGAGACAGGAGGAACACAAGTTTGAGTCCAGCTGGGGCTGCCTGGTAACTTAGCAACTTTTGAGTAACTTAGTAACTTAGCAACTTTTGAGTCTCAAAAAAAAAGGCCAGGGGATGTAGCTCAGTGTGAAGCCCCTGAGTGAGTCCAAGCCAGCCTGAACAATATAGTAAGACCCTGCCCCACCAAATTAAAATAAAATAATTGAGGGCCGAGGATTTAGCTCAGTGGTTCCGCTGCCTGCCTCGAAAGCCCAAGGTCCTGAGTTCGATCCCTAGTACCAAAAATAAATAAATAAATAAATAATAATAATTGACTATGTCTTGTGATGAAACTTTCATGAAACATTCACCAAAACCCCTAAGGGACAGGAACACATATGAAGCCGCCCAGCTGGGGGAGCCACACAGCAGGAGGTGGTACAGCCCTAACTCCAGCAGACAAAGCTCCTGAAATCAGGATGCTCCCAAACCTCACCTCTGTCCTTCTCCATCCAGCAGTTCATCAATATCCTTCATAATGGCCTTTGTAATAAACCAGAAAACATAAGTAAAGGTTTCCCTGAGTTCTGTGAACTATTAGAGCAAATTCTGGAACCTGGGAATGGGTGGTGGGAACCCCTCATTTGTAGCCACGTTAACAGAAGGTGGGTGTCCTGGGCACAGGTATTAGTCAGCCTTCTGTTCATATAATGAACCTCTGAGATGAGCAACTTCTGGAGTGAAGGTTTACTATGGCGAACAGGACTAGAGGTTTCAGTCCACCATTAGCTGGCCATCTGGCTTTTGGGCCTGTGTTGAGGCAGTGTATCCTGGCAGGAACAGGTGGTGAAGCAAAACCACTTACCTCATGGCCAGGAAGTGGAAAAACATGAGTGCCGGAGTCCAGCTCCAGCGGGTTCAGGTCCTGAGAGAAGGTGTGGAGTTGGCGACAAGAGAATGAAACAGACACTGAGTGGAGGGTCGGCAGCTCAGCTTGCCTGTCTGAGTTATACCGAAATCACTTTACTTATATATGTTTTGATTACACAAGGCTTTGGTAAGCATGTGGGTCCATACACAGTGTGTTTTCATACAGAGTTAAGGAAAAGCTGATAGCATCTAAAAAACCATTTTAGACCACCCAGTTCTAAGTACTCCTCTGGGTGCTACATGAACTCTTGCTAATTTATCAGATTTACATTTGAGGAACAAGAAGCATTTTAGAAAGGTCAGGCTACCTCATTAGGCCAAGTTTCATCAGATCTCATTGTTGTGTGCCCTGCGGGTGTTGGCCAAGGGTGACCAGGTGCCAGACAGTGGGGCACCTGCGTCATGAATTTGTTGATGTCCCAATTTCCCTTTGTACAGTCAGGGCATATGGATGTCACGTCCCCACTACTCACGGAGGTATGAGTGAGGGGCTTTTCTGTAAATGGATTTACAATTTCTTCCTGTAATCCCGGCCTAGTAACCATTTCCGAAGTAATGACTTTTATCCTTTCAGTGATTTCCGGGGAGTACAGCACCAAGGTAATTACTACCGAGGAAAGCGAAAGCAAAAGACGGAGTCCTGGTTTCAGCCATAGTCTCTGTTTCACTGGAGCTGTGTCAAGCAGCGAGATTGTGACCGTGGCCTGCACCACATGAGGAAGAGCTGGGGTCCTGAAGTCCTCTTCAGGAGCATGTCCCCAGGAACCTGAGACCTCCCACCAGGCCTGACCTCCTAATGGCTCCATTTCCTCACATTAGAGCCACCCTAGGGACAAGACCTTTAATAAATGTCCCTTTGAAGCCATGCGTGGTGGCACACCCCTATAACCTCAGCACTTGAGAGGCTAAGGCAGGAGGATCACTTTGATTTCAAGGCCAGTCCCCACTACAAAGTGAGATCCTATTTCAAAAAAATAATAATAATAAAAAAATAAATGTCCAAAAAAATAAATAAATAAAAATAAAAATAAATGTCCCTTTGAGAGACATTTAATTTAAGATTGAAACTATAGCAGCATCCAATACTTCCACTGAGTGTCTCAAGGCAGGGAAAGCCTTGTGTCAGACCCTGACCTGTGCATCGGTGCTGGCTCCAGGTAGCTAGTGTCAGAACTGAACTAAATCAAGGGACACCTAGTTGCTGTGTGCCAGAGAACTGGACAACTACTGAATGAGAAAACCCACACATTTGGTGTCAAAAGTGTTGAGAAAAAAAAAAGTGTTGTCAAAAGTGTTCTCTTTCACATTCTTTTGGGATTAGTGCCCTCCTAAAGAGACTGCAGGCATTTAGATCCCTCTTTCCTCTTGTGGACATACCTAGGAAGTGGTGGCTCTGCTCAGGAAGCTGCCCTCACCAGACATCAGATGTGCTGACACCTTGACCACCGGCTTCCCAGCCTCCAGAACTGTGAGATGCAAAGCTCCAGTGTTTCAAGGTCTCTCGGTTGCAGTATTTTGTTACAGCAGCCCAAGCAAACTAGGACACACTATTCCACCTTGTCTGTATGATGCAAGAGCCTTCTGGGCTATGAGATACAGATTTTGGATTTTGTCCATGGTTCCTGGGTAGTACCCCCTCCCCCAGGTGGATCATAGGAACTGCAGCCCGCTCCACCTCTTTCTGATAATGTCATCGGGTTGCTCCTTCTAAACATGGCTTGCCAAATAAACAAACATTACAGAGTTCTGGGTTGATTGCCTCTCCTTCTGAAGTTAGATTCTGGATTCTTCTTGTCTCAAACAAAGAATTTAACAAAATGAGCAAAAGGCAGTGGTAAAGTTTATTTGAAAAATTAAAAATGAAGAGTAAGAGAGAAACTGACTCTGCAGAGTGCACTTCGATCTAGTGAAAGAGGCAAAAGCAAAATAAAAGCATACCCTGGAGGAAGAAAGGCAGGCTGTCATGAGGAAAGCCCTGATAGAGCACACTTCTTGGTGTCTGTGTCCTTTTGTACTGTCCATATCTCAAGGAAACTGGTGAGAACTTCTACCTATGTGTCTGGAGAGCCGGTGCTAGGATCCCACCTCAAGGCTGATGGCAGGTCTAGGCCATCCTTTTGAAAACCTGCTCAGAAGTCCATGTGCAGGGCTTTGGGAGCTGTTCAGCACATATGTTCTGGGATCTTGTAATTAACAGGTCACATCTACTTCCCCAGCCAGCTTTCTCAGACCCTAAGCTCCTATGTCAATAAGATCTCAAGTGTGGAAGGGCACTGTCTCATGCCCTGGAAGAAGGAACCTATAGAGGCCAAGAAGAATCTAGACAGACCAGCCTGCACGCGTTTCCCCACCCAGTCTATTAAGTGTTAGATACACAATAAAGTTTCCATAAAACCCCCAAGGACAGGATTTGGGGAGCTTCCAGATGACTGAATGTGTGAGAGTTGCCAGAGGATGGCACCCTCAACAGGGCATGGAAACTCCATGTCCCTTCCCACACCTCACCCCATGTAATTGATTCATCTGTGTACTTTTCCTTTATTATAAACGAGTAAATGCCAGATGGGGTAGTGCATACCTGCAATCCCAGCACTCAGGAGGCTGAGGCAGGAGGATTGCCATGAGTTCAAGGCCAGCTTGGGCTACATAGTGAGGCCCTGTTTCAAAATCAGTCAATCAGTCAATCAATCAACCAACCAACCAGTAAACATTACAAGTTTCCCTGAATTCTGTAAATTAACTGAATCAGAGGAGCCAAAAGTTGTAAGTATCCAGGGCCAGGGATTAGCTCAGTGGTACCGCTGCCTGCCTTGCAAGCGCAAGGTCCCAACTTTGATCCTTGGTACCAAAACAGAAACAAAAAACAAAAGTTGTAAGCATCCAATTACACCTGGTCCTCAGAAGCACAAGTGAAACAATCTGGAGGCTGTGACTGGCATTGGCCGGGGCGGGGTGCCTTGGGGACTGAATCTCCTTGCACAGAGGGTCAGGGCTGAGAGTGCTGACTGCCGGCTTGCTGGTGGGGAGAGATCCTGACAGCTTCTGAGGTCCTGGGAGTGCCTGTGTTGGTTCCTGGGGTGTGAGAACAGAGGAAAAACTGTTTTTCTATGCAGATATCCTCCATCCAGCCTCCCTGCCTCCTCTCTACTCCCTCTAGTCTGTTCTTTTTCTCTTTGTTTTTATTAGTTTTTTTGAAAGAACTTCTCGCTACATAGCTCAGGCTGGCCTCAAAGCAATCCTCCTACCTCACCCTCCTGAGTGCTGAGATTACAGACATATACCACCATGCCTGATGTTTTGTTTTGTTTTGTTTTGTTTCTCCAGTTTGTTCTGAGTAATCTTTCCAAAACGCAAGTCTGTTCCCTCCCTGGCTTGAACCCAGCTTAATGGCTTTCCTTTCCCTTAAGGGTGGATAAACTCCAAAAATGTTGAGTGTGTCTCCTTGCCATAATTAAGTTTTTATTTGGCCTGAGAAATCTAGAGAATGAAAGAGACAATTTTCCAAGACAAGCCAATGAGTCCCACAGTGAAGTTCCCTTTACTCTAATCTTTCTATCCTTTTTTTTTTTTTTTGGTACTGGGGATCGAACTCAGGACCTTGTGCTTGTGAGGAAGGTGGTGGAACCACTGAGCTGAATCCTGGGCCCTCTATCCTTTAATCCTTATAAAAAGCAACCTGAGGCTGGGGATTTGGCTCAGTGGTTTCACTGCCTGCTGCGCAAGCGGAAGGATCTGAGTTCGATCCCTGGCACCAAAAAAAAAAAAAGTAACCTGAAGTACCCTGCTGTTAAGCAATCAGTTATTTTTCCTGTCTTTCTGGCTCACTGTCCTCACATTACAAGGAAAGTGACTTTGAAAGTGTTAGTCTGCTTTTTACTCTTTGTTTCTATTTTCTTCAGTCCTTCAGCACCTCCTCTGCTCAGCTCAGTGGAACACTTACTTATTCTACTTTATAGATTGAAGTGTTGTCCAGTTCTAGAATCGCAAAATAAAACCAATTAATCTCTGAAAGAAATCATTGCAACTTTGTCTTTTGACACTACTTATCAAATGATTTGCAAACATTTTCTCCTATTCTGTGGGTTGCCTTTCCTCTCTGTTGATTGTGTCATCTGATGCACAGTTTTTAATTTTGATGTAGTTCAATTTACTTATTTTTATTCTGGTTGCCTGTAATTTTGGCGTCATATCCAAAAAATCACTGCCAAATCCAACGTCATGAAGATTTTCCTTGTTTTCTTCTTAGAGTTTTGCAGCTGTAGCTGGGAATACTCTTAAATCCCTCTGTTCTGGCCTCACTCCACTCTAGGTTTGTTCATCAATGGCTCTTGTCCAGGAGCTGCATTCTTGCTGCCTTAGTAATGTCACCTCAGGTCTCACACAGCACCGCTTCCCCTCACGGCCCTGTCCACAGTGTAGTGAGGCTTTAATGTGCTGGGCATTTTCCATCTTGAAGACAGTGGCCTGTCCTGTTCTCGCCAGTACATGCAGCACTTGGTTGGTGCCCTGTACGTTATAGTTGCCGCAGTCTTTCAACGTTTTCTAAGAACCTCCCAGGCAGAATGAACTGGCCGCTCGCTGATCAGGCTCTTGGTGTGGACTTGCTTGTCTGCATGGTCATGCAAAGGATTTGGTTGAACACACAGCAGGGCTTTGTCTTTGTCACCTATGATTGTAACCAGTCCCCTCTAGCTCTCAAGTTCTTGTTTTGGGGCAATGAAGATTGAAGCCTACAAAACAGCACTGCAAGGGCCGGGGATTTAGCTCAGTGGTTCTGCCGCCTGCCTCGCAAGTGGAAGGTCCTGAGTTTGATCCCCAGTACCAAAAAAAAAAACCCCAGCACTACAGCAAGGAGTGGGGAATGACTGAGTGTATGTGTAACAGAAAGAACAAAAGGAAAAGCTCCCCACTTGTTGGGGAGGGGTTCTGTAAGGCAGACACTGTAAATGTTTAAATCCATTGGCTTTTTTTTTTTTTTTTTTTGAGACAGGATCTCACTATATAGTTCAGCCTGGCCTTGAACTCAGTATGCAGCCCAGGCTGATCTCAAACTCACGGCAATCCTCCTGCCTCAGCCTCCCTAGTGCTGAGATTACAGGATCACAGGTGTGCACCACCATGCTGGGCTGCCCATTGGCTTTTTTTTTTTTTTTTTGTACTGAGGATCCAACTTGGGACTTTGCACTTTCAAGACACCCAGCAGAACCACTGTCCTAAATCCCCGGCCCCACCTATTGGCTTTTTTTTTTGGTACTAGGGATTGAACTCAGGATCTTGAGCTTGTGAGGCAGCAGGTGGAGGAACCACTGAGCTAAATCCCTGGCCCAGTCCATTGGCTTTTGATGTAGTTTGTGGTAGAGGTGAATGTGACAGAATGTGGGATGCTCCTGGTTTTAGGTGGGCTTTTGAAGTCCAGAAAGCAAGCTGCTTCATTTGCATTTTACTTCCTTCAAGGCTTCTCCCATCTGTTTCTTTTTTTTCCAGGTACTGGGGATCGAACTCAGGACTTTGTACTTTCGAGGCAGGCACAATGCCACTGACCTAAATCTCCAGCCCTCCCATCTGTTTCTTGCATTCCACAAGGACCAGATAGTCAGTTTGCTTAAGTTCATTATTTGGGCCCTCTGATATGTTAACTCACATAAGACAGACTTTAGTTTACTTCTGGTTAACTATTCAGGACCTGTACTCTATCTGCCTACTTTCCTCTATCTTCTGGCTTCAGTGTCACCAAAAACACACACTAGATATAGAGCAGACCCTAGTGACTGGTCAGCTGAAAGGCTGCTCTAATAGACACTTCTTTCTGCTCCCTGAAAAATGGCACCTGTCCCTCCACTGCAGTTTACCCAATGTGATATATGGATATATGTTTTCTCAGAACAATACCAAGTCAGGCCAGGTACAGTAGTCCACACCTGTAGTCCCAGCTACTTGGGAGGCTGAGACAGGAGGATCACTAGAGCCCAGGAATTCAGGGACAGCCTGGACAACATAGTGAGACTCTATCTCTTTAAAAGCAAACAAACAAAAAGAATGCTTAGTCAGGCAGAGTACAGAATAGATTCCTCATATGCAAGTAAAAGTATCTCTTTGTATACTGAAAATTGTATTTTACTGCTCTTCGCACACACTTGAAGGCTCAATACCTATATATAATTAGCAGTGAACAGACAACAGTGTCATAGTAACTGTCAACTGACCAGCTCAAACACAACCTAAGAACAAAAAGTGGGGCTGTGCAGTGTTCACCTAGCATGCATGAGGCCAAGTTCTATCACCAGCATGCACAGGGCTGGGAATGAGGGGTGAGAATACAAGATATAAACAAGCCAGAGAGTACACCAAAAGTCCAAGGACAAATATGCCACCACTGTGGGCCTTTGGTGTCACTGGCTGTCCAGGATTGCAGATGTAGGGAGTTGGTCATCATATTCAGGTTACTAGGAGACAGACTTTTCACCCTCTATGGAGGCCCCAGAGCCAAAAGTCATTTTCCCAGCATCCCTTGCAGCTGGCGGGGCACACACTGCAGGAGAGCTGGGAAAACCACTATCCCCTTAGACTTTAGTTTGGGGCTAGGGAGGCAGGTGAGAAAGTAACAAGAAGAACTTTCATCCCAGGAACAGCAGCAGCCTCCAGTGTCCAGGGCCAGTGGTGCTGGCGGACCTGGCCATGAATCTGTGTTCTTCAGAGCCTGAGCCAGGTGTATCCTCAGCAGGCCAGCTCTACAGTGAGCTTTGGCCCCTCTCCCCACTGCAGTTCCTCATCTCAGCTTGCTCCCTAAACCTAGTCCTGCAGCCTTCCAGGCGATTCTAGGATCTACCTATAGCCTTATAATAAAGTCCCTTTCTTCTGAAATCCACCACAGTTGGTTTCTGTTGTTTCCAACTAACAACTCAGCCTGGGAAAAAGGCTCCAGGCAGAGGTGGAGGCCTTTGGTTCTGGTCTTGCGAAGCTGGTGGCCTAGGCGAGCCTCAGGCCCACTCTGCTTAGGGACCTCCTCTGAGCAGGACTCTGAGGCAGAGGCAGAGGCTGGGAATGGTGGTCCTGGGCAGAGGGCGCAGGCTGTAGCAGCTGCTACCTGGAATGCAATTCCCAGGCCCAGGCCCAGGCCCAGCAGGGGTGATCACTTTCCAGGTGACTCAGCTGAACTCTAGAGTGTACCCTAGAGCTCAAGGACACCGCTGGAGCAGAAAAATTGACAAAAAGAAATCAGGAGACTCAGGTTCTAGGTATTTGTCTTTTGTATGGACCTGCTGTATCTCTCCGAATCTAGGTGTTTTCACCTGCGAAGTGAGGATCACAGTATCACTACGGGAGCTACAGTGAGAACTAAGTAACACTGTAGGGCTGGGGTGTCACTCAGTGGTAGGGCACGTGCCTAGCATGCCTGGGACTCTAGGTTTCATTCCTAGCATGTATTCATACAGCAGCAAGTAGGGTGCCTGGGACAGAAGAGAGGCCCAGTAAGTGACAGCCTTCTTGTCACTATTGGTTGTTGTCAGTCCTCTTAGGAAATAGCTGTGAAAATTTGGATGTGCCCCTAGTTTTTCAGCCTTTTTTTTTTTTTAAACAACAGATAACAACACTCCCTCCCTGGTTTTTTGGGAGACTCAGAGAAGGTAAAACACAAAAGCCATGTAATCTAAATGAAAAGATGGATCAAGAAGAGATGAACTAAAACACAAAATTAAAAAATAATGAGACATAAATTACCATGGTGCCATGCACTGATAGTCCCAGCTACCCAGGAGACTGAGGTAGGAGGAGAATCGCTTGCACCAAGAGTTGAAGACCAACCTACATAATAAGATCTTGTCTTAAAATACATAGGATCTATATAGATCATATATAGATCATATTATATGTCATATATAACTATTTTTTATATATATATATATCAGGCATGGTGGCACATGCCTGCAATTCCAACACTCGGGAGGCTGAGGCAAGGAGGAGTGCCATGAATTCAAGGCCAGCCTAGGCTATATAGTGAGTTCAAGGCCAGCTTGAACTACATAACAAGACCCTGTCTCAAAAAAGAACAAAAACAAAACAAAAAAGGTAGAAAGAAAAGAAATACATAAAGTGCTTACTGTGTGCCAGGCACCAAGCATAGTCTGGAGAGATGATGGTCCAAAGACAGAGCTGCATAATACCAAGAAAAAACACTTGTAGCCAGGGATTTAGCTCAGTGGTTCCGGCTCCTGCTTCGAAATCACAAGGTCCCGAGTTCAATTCCTGGTACCAAAAAAAAAAAGAAAGAAAAAAACCCCACATAAATGTGGGATGCTCGATGACAGGAGCCCATGCAACGTGATAGGGAACAACACAGAGGAGGGAATGTCAGTGTGGATGGAAGGAGGAGAGGCAGGCCTTGGTAGAACTGGACCCAAATTACAAGTGCAATTATAAATTTATTATACAGAGCTTGATTTAGGACAGAACCACTAAGTCCTGATAAAGTCCTGGTTACAGGCCAGGCATGGTGGTGCACAGCTGTAATCTCAGGAGGGTGAGGCAGGAGGATTGCTGCAAGCTTGAGGCAATCTTTGGCTACATAGTGAGTTCAGGGCCAGCCTGTCCCAAAACCCCCCCACAAAATAATAATAGTAAATTAATTAAACAGAAGAAAAATTACAATTGAATGTAATTATTATAGAAGGGGAATTAGAAGGGTTTTGAAACAAGTGGTAATAACTGATTCAGGCAAGATTCATAATAGATGTTAAAGTCACTGGGTGAAAGTGTGAGAAAACAGGATATTTACAGAGCTTCAAAATGTCTTTCCAGGGCTGAGATATGGGGTGGGGAAAGGGGACCAAAAATAGTCATGATATTTATATGTATGAATTCCCCAAAACATAATCATTATGTGCCACAAACATATGACAATAAAACATTTAAATGTCTCTCCACAGAATACTAATTACAAAGATAGAAAAGGAGGCTGGGAATGTAGCTCAGTGGTAGTGAGCTTGCCTAGCATGTGCAAGGTGCTGGGTTCCATCCTTGGAACGGCAAAAACTAAAACTAAAATAAAATAACTTCAGAGAAGCCTGCCAGACATGACCTCAGCCAAGCAACCCACGTCAGCATCACCAAGAGTGGCTGAACTGACATCGCATGCCTCCTGACGTGCACAAGGACGCAACATCATTTTCCTGGTTTTCCGGCCAAAACTGCATTGCCTGACTTTAATCATGAAAAAAAAAAATCCCTGGAAAATATTCTATATAACAATGAGCTCATAATAAAAAAATATTAATGCCATGAAAGACAAAGTCCAAGAAGTTGTTTCCATTAGAGCAGCCTAAAAAATGACAATGCACCATTTTGTCTTCAATTGGAAAAAACAATTGAAAGGACATTATTGAGTACTGGGGGGAAATCTGAATATATTGTATACGAGATAATGGTGTTGAATAGCTGGTAAACCTCCAGAACTAGATTATCTCACTGTAGTTAAGTAAGAGAAAATCTTTGTTCTTAGCTTATAAGGTAAAAGATCATTCTGGAGCTACTCAGGTGGCCAAAGTAAGAGAATTGTAAGCTGGAGGCCAGCCTGGGCCACTTAGCAAGAACTTGTCTAAAATAAAAATTAAAAAGGACTGGGATGTAACTATGGCAGAGCATCCTTGGGTTTGATCTTCTGCACTCAAAAAAAAAAAGGTCATCCTGTCTGCCACTTTATCTCAGGTGTTCAGTAATATTCTAAGTGTGCATGTACTGGGGAAGATAGCAAAGCACACATGGAAAAATGTCACCCACTGCAAATACAGGAGGAAGGTTTAAGGATGTTCATTGTACTGTACAAAAGGTTTAAAAGTTTTCCATAAAAGAAGTTTTCCATTTTTTTTTTTTTTTTGGTACTGGGGCTCAAACTCGGATCCTTGTGCTTACGCAGCAGGCGGTGAAACCACTGAGCTAAATCCCCAGCCCAATGGTTTTTTAATATAATTTCTGTGATACCAAGATTGGTAAGATAATGCATGAAACAGCTTGAATATAGCATATTTATGTTCCTAAAATAGTTAAGAAAACCAGAAGCCAGAGAGAGAAAAGAGGCTGCTATGATTTGAGTATGGTAAAAGAGTAGAGCTGGATATGGTGACACAGGCCTGTAATCCCAGCACTCAGGAGCCTGAGGCAGGAGGATCATTGCAAATTCTAGGCCAGCCTGCACTACATGTTCAGACCCTGTCTCAGGGAAAAAATAAAAATAAAAAAGAAAGTATGCCCCAAGGTATACTTTTTGTTTGTTTGTTTGTTTGTTGAGACAGAGTCTCACTGTATAATTCAGGTTGACCTTAAACTCATTGTGTAGCCCAAGCTGGCCTTGAACTCTGTTGTGGCGATCCTCCTGCCTCAGCCTCCCTAGTGCTGGGTCCCAAGGTATTCTTGTGTTAAAATTTAATTCCTATTGTGAGGTACTGAGTGTGTGAGAACTTAATTCTATTGTGTTTAAAGATGAGGCCTTTGGGAGGTAATTGGATTAGATAGGGTCATCAGTGTGTAGTCCCCATGATCGAATTCCAGAAATAAAGATAGAAGACAGAGCAAAAGACACACACACACACACACACACACACAGCCAAGCACACACATGAACACACATGCAGTCACCCAGTCCCTGTTTCTGGCCATGTGACAGCCTGCACCACCAAGGGACTCTGACAGCATGAAGGATGTCCCCAGATGGGATTCCACAACCTTGCACCTGCAGAACCACGATGCAAAATAAAGCTTTTTTCTGAAACTCTGTGCTATCGTGTTTGGCAAAAGAAGACAGATAGCACAGAGGTCACGGAAAGAGGCCTTCAGCATGAGAGAAGAACAAGTGTGGCGGCTGCTGAGAAGGAAGTGGGGGTCCACCAGACATGGGGATGGGGGGACAGACTCAGCAGGAGGGAGGCTCTAGAGGAGCTCTGTCCAGGGATGTGGTGGGGAGAGAAGGGCAGGAGCGCCATCCATGAGGAGGGGGCAGACAAACTCTGGCCAAGGATGAGGACAGGGAGGCATAAAGAGAGGAGGGCCTCAGGGCAGGGCCCTGAGTTATTTGACCAATTGACTGAAGCGTAATTGAAGCTTAATGATGAAACCAGGCCTCTAAAAAGGAAAACAAAACAAAAGAAAACAAAACAAAACAAAAAAGGCCTGACTGGCCAGGCATGGCGGTGCATGCCTGTAATCCCAGCACTTGGGAGGCCGAGGCAGGATGATTGCCAAGAGTTCAAGGCCAGCCTGGGCTACATAGTGAGTTCAAGGCTAGCCTGAACTACATAACAAGACTCTGTTTCAAAAAGAAAAAAAGGCTTGGGCTGGGGGATTTAGCTCAGTGGTTTCGCTGCCTACTGCGCAAGCCAAGGACCCAAGTTCAATCCCTGGTACCAAAAAAAAAAAAAAAGCTTAAAAAAGGCCTGATCTTCCTTCAGTATCATGGTAGCAATTTTTTTGGGGGGGGGAAGGGTACTAGGGATCGAACTCAGGTCCTTGTGCTTGCAAGGCAGGCGGTGGAACCACTGAGCTAAATCCCCAGCCTGTGGTAGCAAATTTTAATAATAAAAGTATAAGAAGGCAGGAGAAAAAAATCATACTGGCAGACTTCCTTTCAGTATTTTTCCTACACATTTCCCAAGTCATTTCGGATCAGTGTCCTAAAAAACGCAAGTTATTTTAACTCTGGCTGCAAACCAAGAACAAAAAGGTTAAGTGCATTGAATTAATTTTTCAAGACAAAGTTATGGGATCTGAGGCTAATCTGCTGTTCTCAGGGTCTGATCCCTGTTGTTTTCCATTAACAGGTATGAGCACAGGTCTGGCTGACTCAGGTAATGACTCCTCCTCTTCAGTAAAGCTTCCTGCTTTACAACTTTTTCTTTTTCCACATTAAAATTCTGCATTCACCTGGTAACAAAAAACTAGTAGAACAGTGGAGATTACAATGAAAAACAGCACTGGTTCCCCATGGCCCATAATCCCACCTCGCCCCTCTCCCACCATCTAGAGACAATCCCTTTAACAGTTTTAGTTCTTGAGGAAGTTATTTACAAAATCCTAGTGTTTAACTCACTTTCTGTTCTTCTCAATGATGACTATATTTGTATTAATTTTGCAGTACTGGGGATCGAACCCAGGGGCTCCTTTGCACTGAGTTACATATATATGTATATATTCTTGATATTGTAGTTCAGGCTGGCCTTAAACTTGTAGAAATCCTCTTACTTCAGCCTCCCAAGTGCTCGGATTACAGACATCCCCAGATATGTTAATTTTTATATTAATTATTTTGATTACATAGGTAAACTTCTATTTCTCCATCTATATTTTAAATTTTCTTGTTGGTCTTTTTTTTTTTTTTTTTTGGTACCAGGGATCGAACTCGGGTCCTTGCGCTTGCAAGGCAAGTGACGGAACCACTGAGCTAAATCCCCGGCCCTCTTGTTGGTCTTTTGAGATAGCGTCTCACTTTGTAGTTCAGGCTGAACTTGAACTCACTATATCTCAGGCTGGCCTCTGACTCATAGCAATTTTTCTGCCTCAGCCTCCCAAGTGCTGGGATTACAGGTGCATATCACCATGTATGGCCTTCTCCATCTTCTGTTGTCAGTGTATCTGGTGAGAGAAGCTAGTTTAGAATTCCTTTCTCTACTTCCACACGAAATCTCTCCTCAGTTTCACCTGTGCAAATGTTTAGATTGTGAGCCCTTGTGATCTTTTGCTGCAACTGCAACCAAGTCTTCCTGATTTTTCTACAGGGTGACTCTTAAAGTTGAAATCCGACAGGCAGTACTTACATTATGGCTGTGTAATGTGGGTTCAACTTAGGTCAAACAATGGGCTAGGAGTAGACTTTCTTCTCCACATACTAAATCCCATAATCCATGTGTCACTCCAAGGAGAACATATCAATTTTAGTATATGTGCTGCCAATCCAGCACTCAAGGGGAACGTATCAAGCCCTAAGGTTCTTAATTGAGACTGTATCAGTAAAATACAATCATCCTTTAAGATATCTTGTTTCTCATTTAAATCATGGATTTATTCTTCATCTTTAGAACTGAAAATTCTACTTCTTTTCTTTTTTGCATTTTGTGTGTGTGTGTGTTGTACTGGGGACCAAACTCAGGACCTTGTGCTTGTGAGGTAGGCGCAGGTACCACTGAGCTAAATCCCCGGCCATCCGTGGCTCTTTTTTGCATACTTTACCTATATCATATGCTATACTTTGAATATGGTTTATCCCTTGAAACTCATGTTGAAATTTAATCTTTATTATGAGATATCAAGAGGTGGCACCAGGTGGAAACTTTAAGAGGTGACTAGGACTCTGCCCTCATGCATGGATTAACATGTTCATTGATTAATGGGCTATCTCAGGTAGGTCTGCTATAAAAGCCAGTCTGGTTAGATCTCTCACGCATGCTCTGTCTCTCACCATGTGATGTCCTGTGCTGCACTGGGACTCTGTCAACAAGAAGGCCATCACTGGATTTGGCCCTCTGACCTTGGACCAGAACCATGGCATCAATTAAACCTCTTTTCTTTTAAATTACTCAGTGTGTGGTAGTGTATCATCAACAACAGAAAAGAGATGAAGATATATCTTTAATTTTTTCAAATTATCATTCATACCATTTATTCATTTCAAGCCCCTTTTCCCTCCTTCACCCCAGACTCACTCTAAGGCGTCATCCTGACACCTCTATTCACTGATCTTCTGAGTTAGAATCCACTGTTTCTTGGGCTGGAGGTGTAGCTCAGTGCTGAGTGCTTTCCTAGCATTTATAGTTCTTTTCTTTTTTTTTTTGGTACCGGGGATTGAACGCCGGTCCTCGTGCTTGCTGGCCAGGCGGTGGAACCACTGAGCTAAATCCCCGGCCCTTGCCTAGCATTTATGAGACCCCAGACTCCATCCTTAGCACCAAAAAACAAATCAGCTGGGCCAGGGATGCAGCTCAGTGGTTCCACTGCCTGCCTCGCAAGCGCAAGGTCCTGAGTTCAATCCCCGGTACCAAAATAAAAAAAAAAAAGAAATCAGCTTCTTAAATATTATTTTATCTTCTTCTTGATTTACTCCTACATTTTCTGAAATACATCCTCAATTTTTTTAAGAAAGGGTATGTAATGTGGAGATCAACTCTGCACCTCAGAATCAGGGTTTGTCTTTATCCTACTGGTACACTGAAGAATAGTCTGTCTGGATACAGATTCTAGGCAGAAAAATCTTTTCCCTCAAAACCATGCAGGCATTATCCCATTCAGTTTTCTAGAATTCATTGTTATTGATTAAAAGTCTATAGTCATTTTGATTCTTTCCATGCATTTTCTTTAAAAACTACAGATCTCATTCTTAACATTCTGAAATTTGTAGGTACGGACGATTTTTCATTCATTTTTTATCTTGAGCACAAACTAAACTAATTCAGAATGAAGATACGCCTTTCAGTTCTGGAAATCATCTCATATTTTTCCCATATCTCATATTTTTCTTCCTTCCATTTTATTTATTCTCATTTTCTGGGATTCCTAATAACTACTGCACATGGTCCTTTTAGACTGATCTTCTGTATTTGCTTTTTTTCTCTTTCATTTCTTTTCTTTTTTTTTTTTGGTACAGGGTTCAAACTCAGGACCTTGAGCTTTTGAGGCAGGTGGTAGCACCACTGAGATAAATCCCTGGCCCTGGCCTTTTTTTTTTTTCACACCTTCAGTTCTATCTTTTTATATTTTTGCACTGTATTTTCAGATTTTAAAAACCTTCTAGGGCCAGGGATTTAGCTCAGTAGTTCTGCCACCTGCCTCACAAGCCCAAGGACCCGAGTTTGATCCCTGGTAACAACAACAACAACAACAACAAACCTTCTATTGAGCCAGGCATGGTGGCACACACCTGCAATCCAGCACTTTGGGAGTCTGAGGCAGGAGGATCTCAAATTCAAGCCAGCCTGGGCAACTTAGTGACTTAGCAAGACCCTGAGAATATGAAAATAAAAAAGGGGTAGGGAGTGTAATGTACACCCTGTGTACACCCTGGGAGTGTAGTGTACACCCTGGGTTCCATCCTCAGTACAAAAACAAACAAACAAAAAACAAAGAACACCATCTGTATAGCCAAGACTTTCTCTCCTGGTGTACAATTTTATCATTGCTAGGGATTTAGCTCAGTGGTTCTGCTGCCTGCCTTGAAAGAACAAGGTCCCAAGTTTGATCCCTGGTACCAAAAAGAAAAAAAAATTTATCACTTATTCTCTGGGTTTCTCTTTGAGTAGAAATTCTGCCTAGAAACATCATAGATCACAACAGGGAAAGGTTTCAATTTCAGTAGGGAAGGGCTGATAGCCAACTTCTGGCCACCCCAAATTCTAGAATAAGGAATATTTATTTTATTATGGATGTCAGCATGCATTCTAGAAGTCAGAATTTCCCTCAGGAAATTGGTTCCATTTCTTTAGAGGCAAGATATCTGGTAGAAAATGCTTTTTGGTGAGGAAGGTGAGTGGGGTCGGGTCATCAGCTGGTGCTGCTCACCTATCTTGCAGACCTCCAACAATTCCAAGTTCCCACCCCAGCTCTCCACTCTCAGCAGCCCAAGCAAGTAGGCTTGGATGGCACAGCCCTCTTCATATTCTCTGTCTTTTTCCCTCTTTATTCTCTACTTTTATTTCAGTGGGATTTGAAGGAGTGTGACTGGCCTTGCAGCAGGGTTCGTTTTCTTTTCTATTTGTCCCATGCAGCAAGCATACAGATTGAGATGGTAATGGCTGATTCATCAAAGTTAGTGGAAATCTAAGAATTATTTACTGAATCTCAGGATTATATCTTTTTTTTTTTTTTGGTACTGAGGATTGAACTCGGGTCCTGGCGCTTTCGAAGCAGGCGGCAGAACCACTGAGCTAAATCCCCGGCCCTCAGGATTATATCTTAATACAGGGTGCTCATTCTTTTTTTTTTTTGGTACCAGGGATCAAACGTGGGACCTTGTGCTTTCAAGGCAGGCGGCGGCACCACTGAGCTAAATCCCAGGCTCATTAACACAGGGTGCTCATTCTTATCTCAGAGTTCTGGCTTCAAGAGCCCTGACCTCAGAGCTTCAGAGAGAGCTGGGAAACTGAGGGTGGAGACAGAGTTACTTCAAGAAAGAACAAGCTCCACTTCTGTGTAAGTCAGACTTTACCAGCTGGAGGGCTGACTGGCAACCTGAAGGGTTGGAGCTTAGGGCATGTACAAGCTCTTGTGGCTGAAAAAACAAAAATCAATAAGTTTCTCAGCCCCAGAGCTGCTGGAAGCTTAAACCAGACTCCCTAGAGACTATATACTTTCTCTCGGTACCAGGGATCGAACCCAGGACCTTGGCACAGTGCTACATCCCCAGCCCCTGCACCTCATTCTTCTTTCCTTGACTTTTTCTAATTCTTGCTTAATATTTTTAGAAAAAATCCTTTCTAAGGGCTGGGGATGTAGTTCATTGTAGGGCACTTGCCTAGCACACCCAAGACCCTGGTCTTGATCTTAGTCCTGAAGTGGTGAGGAACGAAAGAGAGGCAAATTACGACACCCTTGTTTTGACTTCTTTGTAGCATTCCATGATGGAGGGATAAGCCTCGGGCTCTACTCCTGGCCTAACACAGGGATGAGTCTTAGGATTCTACTGAGTGCTGGGCAGACATGGCTTTGTCAGAAGGCTTGTGGGGAGGGACTTCAGGTAGCTCTGCTGTGTTTGCCTAGCATGCAGATCTGTAGCACTGGGAAAAATAAATAAATAATAGGAAAAGAAAAATTACAATATTTAGCTGGTAATAGTGGTGTATGCCTGTGATCTCAACTCTAGGGAAGCTGAGGCAGGAGTACTGCTGTGAGTTCGAGGCCAGACTGGGCTATAGTGAGCTTAAGGCCAGCCTGGACTATGTAGCAGAAACACTGTCTTCAAAAAACAAAAAAGAATTATAGTATTTATGTTTTACAATGTTGGGGAGATAGACAATGCCCAAGTAATCAAATACATCATTACAAATTGCCATAACTAAGAAAAAAGGGCACATGAATAGAAACCAAGAGGAGTTGGGGATCCTAATTTTAAAAGATGACCTGAGGGCCAGGGATTTAGCTCAGTGGTGCCACCGCCTGCCTGGCAAGTGTAGGGACCCGATCCTCTGTACAAAAAAAAAAAAAGATGACCTGAAAAACTTCCTTGAAGTGACATAAGCTGCTCCCGCCCGCGGGGGCTCAGAGTATAGGGAATAACTGTGTTGAGACCCTGAAGCAGAAGTTAAAGTTCAGCAGGTGCTGGAGCCCAGAGGAAGTGAGTGAGAAGAGAGAGGTGAGGGAGGAAGGGCCCGGGCTGAGGGAGGAAGGGCCCGGGCTGAGGGACTTGCACATGCAAGTGCCCTCCCACTGAGCTTCACCCCCAGCCTCCACCCCCAATATTGCTTTCTACTGCTCTTCACTGTAAATGAGCAGACCATTACAGACTAAACGAACTTTTGAGGACCTTTCTGTTTACAAAACTGTTTCCATGGCAAAAAGGGCCCACTTTTACCAAATTCATTTACTGGACTCCTGTAGGTCTGCCTAGAGCTCCACTCGCTCTGCTGTCAGCTGAAATGGCGCCGCGTTCCCGAGCCAGGCCGTCGTGGGCACACGAGCAGGACGCGCCATTTCTCACCTCTGCCCTCTCTGGCTGCAAGACGCCGAAGTCTCCACCAACTTCGAACTGCTTTGCTGAAAGAAGTGAACACAATGGGGCTGGGGATTTAGCTCAGTGGTTTCGCAGCCTGCTGCGCAAGCGCAAGGGCCCGAGTTCGATCCCCGGTACCAAAAAAAAAAAAAAAAAGAAGTGAACACAAGACCTAAGTGAATAGATGTTCGCACGCTCTTTTCCAGTTACTTCCTGGAAAGAACAGTCTTAAATGCCGCTGATAAAATTGAAGTGCGTCTACAGTTGAGGAGGAGGAGGAGGTGGAGGTGGAGGTTGGACGGCCGTCCCCGCGAGGGCGCCGAGTGGGGCACAGTCCCTACCACGGGGGACGTGTGCTGGCTCCTCGGGTCGGAGCCCGCAGGCAGGGGCAGCCCCGGAGGAGTTGGGGCCCCGGCCCGGGTCACCTGGCACCCAGGCCTGGGTGGAGTTCCTGCTTTCGCACCCTCTCGATTGCCTCTGCGGGAAGGGCCACCAGATGCACAGTTCCATCGCGGCCGCCCTCACACGCACCGAACCTCCGCCCGCGGACGCCCGCCCGCCGAGGAGAAGCTCAGAGTTATCACACACAAACAGTGTCCGGCTTCCTGTCCTCATCCCCCCTCCCGCCCCGTTTCCCTTGCCCCTCCCTCTCCCCAGCCAGATCCGCCCGCCGGCTCCCCCTCCCCCGATCCCCCGGGTCCCAGGATGGGGGGGCGGTGAGGCAGGCACAGCCCCCCGCCCCCATGGCCGCCCGTCGGAGCCAGAGGCGGAGGGGGCGCCGGGGGGAGCCGGGCACCGCCCTACTGGCCCCGCTTGTGCTGGGCCTGGGCCTGGCGCTGGCCTGCCTTGGCCTCCTGCTAGCCGTGGTCAGCCTGGGGAGCCGGGCATCGCTGTCTGCCCAGGTGAGGCCTCGCAGCACAGCCCTCCCTGGGCACATGAGGAGTGAAGACTGCAGAGGAGTGGATGGGGGCCGGGTGGGCAGAGGGCCAGGGAACCCGAGGATGGGTGGAGGGCAAGATGTCAGGTGGAGAAGGAGAGGATGACACTGCCTCCTTCACAGCAGGATCCTTCCCAGGGGGAGCTGGAGGCAGAGGACCAGGAGCCACGGGTGAGTAGGTTGGGCACTGTGTGCTGGCTCCTGGACAGGCGAAGGGGGCTGAGACTGCAATGTGTGCTAGCTCTGCCAGCTATATTGAGGTGTTGTCATGTGTGCATGAAGATCTTCATGCATGAGTGTGTTCCTATGCATGTGTGTGGGTGCACCAGCATGCACAGGTGTGTGTGGGTGTGGGTGTGTGGGTGACCATGTGTGTGAGGGGTTTGTTCCACCTAAATATGAAGTGTTTATTGGCTGTGAAGTGGGGCTATAGATATATGGGCCTCTGTGGGAAATGGATGCTGTTGTATGCAGTGTGCGCCCTGTGCATGCTACGGGTGGGCATGTGTGCAGCGCGCCTGTAGAGCACAGGGTTTGTGCTGGTTAGGGAGGGGGGCTGGAAGGTGCGGCTGGTCTCTAGAAAGGGGTGATGGGGGCCTCACCCCAGGGCTTGGATCTGTCTCTAAGACTGTCCCTATTGCTGGCTGGTGGCTCTTCTGACCAGCCCTGGTGGGCTCAGATTATGTCTCTGGGAGGCCCTGGTTTAGCTCTGCCTTTAATTCCCTTAGGAACTGAATCCCCAGACAGAGGAGAGCCAGGATGTTGTGCCTTTCCAGAAACTAGTCCGGTCTCGCAGAAGTGGTGAGCATCCCTCTGTCTCAGCTCAAGAATGCCAAGAATGGCCAGCCTATGGTGGCTTCTGGGTTCATTACTGCTTTTGTGCATCTGCCCATGAAGTGGACAGAGCAAAAACTGCTTTCCTCATAGAGAAACTGAGGCACAGAGTATGAAGGGAGGTGCAGAGTTGTGCAGCTAACTAGTTGAGATCTGAATTTAGGAATTAAAACCCTTGCTCTGAACCTTCTTTTGTCACATGGACCTGCTTCTTGAATATCCTACCTCAAATATGAAGGGGAAATGACCAGGAGTTAGGAGGACCCTTGGAGTGCTGATGAGGATGGATCAGAGGCCTGGGTCTCAATAAGCAAAAACATGTATGAATGGGCTGGCCACATGGTCGTGCATCACAGTGGGCATGGGCAGGACTGTGTTGGCCTATATCTGTTATCTCTGTGTGACATTTTTCCCCTGGTGCTGAGGATGGAATCCAGGGTCCTGTGTGTGCCAGGCAAGAGCTCTACCACTGAGCTACACCAGAAGTCTGGTGCAATTATTAATAGCAGTCCCTTGTGCTCTCCAAAGTATCCCAATTTGGATGATAAAATATATAGTCACTCCACTTATGAAGAAGACGAGGGCTGAAGTTATGAGGCCAGTTCTGAGTCTGGACAAGACTAAGGGTGCCATGACCTGAGAGGGGAGTGGGGCTGGGGAGTGGTTGGTTCCCTCCTTGGAGTCTGCTCTGCTCATTTCTCTTTCCTTGATTTTCAGCACCTAAAGGCCGGAAAATACGGGCTCGAAGAGCAATTGCAGCTCACTATGAAGGTAGGCAATGGGTGACCCATGCTCAGGAGGAGGGGTGGTAGAGGAGCAGGACAGGTCTCATCAACTCTCCTGTATCTTACAGTTCACCCACGACCGGGACAGGACGGAGCGCAGGCAGGTGAGACCCTGTCCCCACCTCTGAGCTCCCCTCTGATCCTCTGCAGCACTGGCCTCAAACTCTCGTTTTCTAACTCTTTCCCTGCCTTAAGCCTAGGATCCACAGAATCCAGTTTATGAAAGTCCTGGTTCTCTGTGGCCCAGGGATGGGACCCTGGGATGACTCCTTTCTTCTCCAGATCTCCCACAAAATCAGTGGCTCCTGTTTTTACCCTCAGTTCCCAGTCTTCTCCAAGAAGCACCTGTGATCCTTTCCTTTTGTTTTGTTTTTTGAGATGGGTCTCACTATGTCGTTCAGGGTGGCCTCAAACTTTCAACAAACCTCCTGCCTTTGCCTTCTGAGGGCACCACGACACCTGGCTTCTTTCCCTTCTGTATTGTATGAGTTTTCATGCCCTGGTCATTGTTCCTCCAAACATTTCTAGTTTCTGCTCATTTTTTCCATTCCTACCCCACTCCCCACCTCACCACCATGACTTCAGAACCTCAAACCCAGCTCTGGCCTCTTCCCCATTGCTCACTCTCCCTCTCCCTCCACTCTGTCCCTCCTATGGGACAATTTCATGTCATTGTCCCATTGGTTTTCTGTGTGGCTTCCAGCCTCTTGGTGGTTTGGTGTCAATCTCACTTCCCAGAACACCCTTATGCATTCTCCACGGTTGAGGTGCTGACACCCTCGTGCCCCTCTTTTGGACTTTGCACATGTTGTTCCCTCATTCAGAACTTCTTTCTCCTTTCCACGAGGCAAGACATGGAGGTGGCTTAGTTCAGGGTGTCGGCAGCAGAGATGGAGAGAACTAGATGGATTCAGCATGTAGCTTGAACATAAAGGGATTGCTTGTAGGTTGGATGTGAAGACTAAGAGAAAAGGAGGAATCGCAAATGACATCAAGGGTTTTGTTGTTGTTGGGTTTTGTTTGTTGTTGGTTCTTTATGGTACCGGAGATCGAACTTGGGACCTTGCGCTTTCGAGGCAGGTGTCTTTCGAGGCAGATGCCGGAACCACTGAGCTAAATCCCCAGCCCTATTTTTAGATTTTTAACTGGGAATGGTGGTGTCATTTCCTAAGATGGGGTTGACCAGTGAAGAAATAGGCTGGAAGGTGTAAATGAATAACTTTGAGATGTCTAATAATAAGCAAGTGGACACATGGTGGTAAAGTGCATTTCACAAATAGAAGGCTGGGTATAGTAGATCAGCTTAGGCTTTATGAGGACATACAAAGTCAGAAGTTATGGCCATATGCATGGTATTTAAAGTTACAGGATTGGGTAAGACACCAGGAGAATGAGGGCCCCCAGAATAAAGCCCCAAAGCTTTCAGCCATTTGGAAGTGGGGCAGAGAAGGAAAGCTGGCCATGGAGACTGAGAAGCAGAGAGAGAGAGAGAGAGAGAAAGAGAGAGAGGAAGCCAGGGGAGGGTGGTGTCTTGGATTTAAGAGAAGACACTGATTCAAGGAGGGTATAGCTGTCTGTGTGGAAACAGCAGAGGGGTCGCATGAGATGAGAACACAAAAATGACTGCTGGTTTGTAACATAAAAGTCAACTGGTGACCTTGACAAGGGCGGTTTCAGTGGCGCAGTTAGGCAGGAGGCCACTGTGGATTGAGTTGAGGAGAAAATGGAAAATAAGGAACTGAAGACAGTGACAACCCTTTTTAGGACTTTCTCTGTGACAAGGGTCAGAGAAATGGGCCCTCAGGTGGAGGAGGGGGAAGTGGATCAAGTAGTCCTTTTAGCAAGATGTACATATATTTACTTTAGCTAGGGCTTACTGAGTGCTTTTAGGGTAGGTGCTATGTCTCACATACACTTTTAAAATCTTATCTAACCCTCTCAATAGCCCTACAAGGAAGATATTCTGGTTGCCCCCATGTCACAAATGGAGCTTACACAGCTTGTCTGAGGTCATGAAGCTCCTATGCAGGGGGAGCAGGTTTTGAAGCTGGTTTGTGTCCTAGAAATAGAGGCAGGCTTGCTGGGCCAAAGGAAAGCAGACCTGCGTGGACATGTCCAAGAAGGTGGAGGGACAGGAAGGGAGGACACATCTTGCATCACCACAAGGGGGTTAAAGGAGCACAGGTGGATTTGTAGATTTAGTGGTGGGGGTAAGGGAGCCTTTTCCTGAGGACTTCTAGTTCCTCTGGGGAACTAGGGAGGTGGTACAAAATCCTTGTCTTAGTGAAGATGAAAACCATCTTGGTGGGGACAGGTAAGTGGCCAGGCAGCCTGAAATGTCCACCTGTGACAAGTAAGCCCAGGCACTGTTCATAGTCCCAGACACACTGTGCCTGGTGGCCACAGGCTGCTTTTGCCCAAGCTGATTTCCCAGCCAGGATGCCCTCCCCTCCCCTCTCCCCAGGCTGTTCTGCACGGCCAGGCTGGACTCCCCCACTCAGCAGAGACCTCTTATTTTGGCATTTACCCAGGCATCCATTCACTTGAGGACCTGCTGTTTGCTAGTGATCCAGCTAGGTGCCCACAGCAAGTCACACCCACACCTGTGCTCAAGGAGTCACCACTCCAGGACAAAGGACGGTATATATGTGTAGTTACATACCAGTACTGCATGACATGAACAATAATGAAAGGAGCCAAAGATCCATGGCAGCATAGAGGAAGACAGACAACTTTACAGTGGAGTGAGGGACTCCTTGCTACAACAACACGGGGCCTTGAAGTCTGAGTGTAAGGGGAACAAGGGGTCAGGGATGCTACAGGTGAAGGAACCATGGTGTGAAAGCCCTGAGTTTGCCAAGAGGCTGATGAAGCCAAGGGCTGTGAGAAGTTCAGTGTGGCTGAAGCAGAAAGTGCCAGAGGGAGAGAGTAGGGTGGGAGAAGATGAAATACAGAACCCAGATCACAGATGGAGCCTGGATTCTTAGTTAAGCCACTGAAAGGTAATTTGAGGAGAGGCAGGCTCATGTCAGCAGTTCAGAAGCATCACTCTGCAGCTTTGTAGAGGAAGCAGACTGGATGGGACAGAGCTAGTCTCCAGGCAGAAATGACAGGAAATGGTGCTCAGTGAGTAAAGTGGGTAGGGGAGACAGAGGCTTGGGTACACAGCCAGGAGTGGAACCATGACCCAAATGCAGGATAGAGACAGTGAAGCAAGTGTGGAGTGAGGGGAGTCAGCTCAGTTTGGGTCAAGATGAACTGGAGGAGCCCACTGCTATTCAGATGGCAGGAGTTAGCAGGATGCAGAAATACTGGGTCAGGACTCACAAGGGATAAGTTGTGATAACTCACAGGTAGGAATAAAAATATCCAGGGCTGGGGATTTAGATCAGTGGCATAGTGCCTGCCTGGCAGGCACAAGGTCCTGAGTTTGATCCCTGGTACAAAAAAAAAAAAAATCCAGTGAAAGTAACTTTTTTTTTTTTTTGTAGTACCGGGGATTAAAATTTAAAAAACTGTGGGCTACCCCCCCCCCTTTTTTTTTTTTTTTTTTGGTACCGAGGATCAAACTCAGGACCCCGCGCTTGCCAGGCAGGCACTATGCCGCTGAGCAAATTCCCCGGCCCCCAACTCCTTTTTATTTTTTCATGAGGCAGGCTCTTGCTAAATTGCCCAAGGTAGTCTCAACCTTGTGATCTTCCTCCCTTAGTCTCCCAGTGCTGGGATTGCAGGTGTATGCTATCACACCCAGCTACTTTTTTTTGATGCTGGGGATCTGACCTAAGGTCTTGTGGATGGTAGGGATGCACCCTACCATTGAGCTATACCTCCAATCCTGAGTGTTACATGTAAGTCTGTGTCTGTGTGTGTGTGTTGCTGGTGATTGAACCCAGGGAGTGCTGAGCTACATTCCCAGATACAGTCCTGCTAAATTGCCCAGACTGGCTTCAAACTTGCATGTTCCTACCTCAGCTTCCTGGATACACAGTGTATAATCAAGCCATTAAGCCTGGCTTGAGAGTTACATTTTTCTTGAAAATGGGCATTCCCTCAGTTTTCTCACCAATGTGTACCAGGTGCCCGCTCAGACCAGGTCCAGCTCCAAGTGCCAGGATTACAGTGTCGAAGAAGCCATCCCTGCCCTCATAAGGGAGTCAGACCCCAAATTAGCTCATGGATGGATAAATGAGGTAAATTCTTGTAGGGAATAGGGAAAGGGGATGTTACCAGAACCCCTGTAGTGAGTCCTGGTCTCCTGTGAACTACAACAGCACAAAGTGAATTAGAGAATAAAGACAGGAAACGAGACGAAGAGAAGAGGCTGGGTTCCAGGCCTAATTAATGCTGCTCTGGACAGCAAAGATGCAGGCACCTGGAGCTTGCCCTATTTACTGGGTTCATAGGGAGTAACAGATGACTCAGAGGGTGGCAATAATCCTAAATTGACAAAGATCTTATAATCAGAGGAAGTATCAGATGTCTGGAGGGTGGCAGTAATCCTATGACCATGAGGATCTTATGCTGATGAGGATCTTAGGTCCATGAGAAGCTTATGTTGATTAGGATAGTAAGATGAGCGAAGATGTTTTTACAACAGTAGGTCCCTCCCCAGGTGAAATCTTTCTCTTACTACTAGGTTCTCAAGGAACCAGGATGTCTTCAACTGATGTTCTTGCCCTTGAGTGTCATAGCATCACGGGACCATTGAGGTCTCAGCTGTGACCGGAGGCAAAAATAGAGTTATGTTTCAGCATGTCATAGCTGGTTTGTAGGCAAGAAGACTAGGACTAATTGTAAGTTAATTGTGAGATGATTTTCCCAAAAAATTATGTAGAATGGCTCCTGACAAGTTCTCTTGCTGTTGACCACTAGGAAAGAAATGGAGATGTGAAGGGATTGATGGGGGAGCGCAAGGCTATGGCTGGCTGGCCCAGGGAGACAGAAAGTGCTGGAAAGGGGAAAATTTTGGAAAGAAGAGCAGCACAAAGCCCTAAGGGAGAAATGACGGTGGTGCTAGCAGGAATGGATGAAGCCAGGAGGGTAGGATGGTGGGAGGGAGCACTGTGATTGGGGAGCCTTTAATTTAGGTGAAGCATTTAAGATGGGAGGACCTGGGAAAGCACCTGACAGTTCTAGCACTATTGTTTATTTTATAGTGTGCAATTACCCGAGCTCTAGGAGTTACTTTTTTGTTTTTGTGGTGCTAGGGATTGAACCTATGCAAGCCAAGGGCTTTGAGCTACATCTTTAAGGTTTGTTTTTGGTGGTGTGTGTGTGTTGGTAATAGCTTGAGATATACATCACACACTATACAACTCACCCATTTAAAAAGTACCACTCAAATCAGGTGTGGTGGTGTATGCTGTAATCCTAGCACCCTGAGAGGCTGAGGCAGGAGGATCACAAATTCAAGCTCATTCTGGGCAATTTAGTGACTTAGAGAGACCCTGTCTCCAAATAAAAAAGGGATAGGTATGTAGCTTGGTGTGAGGGCCCTACGTTCAATCTTCAGTCCCACACACACAAAAGTGTAACTTAGTGGCTTTTAGTATATTCACAGAGATTGTGTGAGCATCAATCACCACAGTGACGTTACAACATTTTCTTCACCTCAAAAAGAAGCCCTGTACCTGCTAGCCATCACCTATTCCCATCATTCCCCAGCCATAAGCAACCAATAATCTCCTTTCTGACTAGATTTGCTTATTCTGGACATTTCCTACAAATGAGATCATACAATATGTGCTCTTTATGTGACTGACTTCTTAGCAGAACATTTTTAAGATTCATTCATGTGGCACTTCTTATGGCAGAATAACATTCCATTGTGTGGATATTATCACATTTGTTTATCCATTCATCAGCTGTTGGACATTTGGGTGTCATTTTATTCTTATTTTATTTTATTTTTGGTACCGGGGATCAAACTTGGGTCCTTGCGCTTGTGCAGCAGGCAGTGAAACCACTGAGCTAAATCCCCGGCCCATTTTATTCTAATTTTAATGATCTGAGTAATGTACATATACATTCTCAACATAAAAGAAACAAACAGTGTAAACATGATGGAGTAAAAAGCCCCCATATTTCTCCTTCAATCCTACTCTTCTCCCTGGAAGTGACCAGTCGTGACAATTTGTCCTGAATCTTTCTGCTGATGTATGTTAGATTTCTTCACACGATGTCCTATTGCCCCATGAACTCCATAGAGCATAGCTCCTCCCACATGCTGGGCAATTGATATCTTCTGTGATTAAGAGGGGTTCTAAACGTTTATAAACTCAATGGATCCCTGAGGAATGTGGGGTGGTAAGGGGGTTTTTCTTATCCCCTAACATCCACATTCAGGTATGGATGGGACAGTGAGTGGCTGGGAAGAAGCCAAAATCAACAGCTCCAACCCTCTGCGCTATGATCGTCAGACTGCGGAATTTAGAGTCACCAGGGCTGGGCTCTACTACCTGTACTGTCAGGTAAGCACTATCCGGCTCCGTGGGTAAGACCTTAACTGAGAAAGGTTTCATTTGGGGTGAAAGAAGGGGACAGGCTAAAGGCTGGGGAGGGAAGATTTAGGGTTTGGGAGGGATGATGTGCCTGGTCTCTAAAGAAATTAGAAATCCAGGTGAGGGCAAGCAGAGGCCTGGACTCTGCCAGCCCTCCCCCTGCCCAGGTGCACTTTGATGAGGGGAAGGCTGTTTACCTGAAGCTGGACTTGCTGGTGGATGATGTGCTGGCCCTGCGCTGCCTGGAGGAGTTTTCAGCCACAGCAGCAAGTTCCCTCGGGCCCCAGCTTCGACTCTGTCAGGTGTCTGGGCTGTTGCCCTTGAGGGCAGGGTCCTCCCTTCGGATCCGAACCCTCCCCTGGGCCCATCTCAAAGCTGCCCCCTTCCTCACCTACTTTGGACTCTTCCAAATTCACTGAGGGACCAGCCTCCCAGCAGATTTTCTAGGCTGCTGCCTCCCCACACAGCTCTCTAAACACCTGATCCCCTCTACCCCACCCGAACCCATCCCAGGCTCCAGATCTGCCCCTCCCTCCACAGGCTGCTAGGGCTTGTTCACATGTTTTCCATTCCACATAAATATTCCCATTCCTCTCTTACACCCCACCCACCTCACTAGCTCCCAAACCCCTGATCTTTCCATGCCTCAGTTTATCCCTTGACTCCCCCTGGCCACACCCCCGAGAACATTGTGTTTACTGACCCTGTGGGTAACGATAGGTCCAGAAGACCTGGCTTCAGGCACTGAGAAGGGCTGGACCTTGTGGCTGGAAGCCAAAGAGCCTGGGACTAGCCCAGGACTTTCCAAATGTGAGGGGTAAGAGCCCAAGACAAATTCCCTCCTTGATAATTCCCTGTGGATTTTGAAAACAGATATTATTTTTATTATTATTGTGACAAAATGTTGATAAGTGGATATTAAAGAGAATAAATCATAGTGTCTCTCTCTTTATTGGGGCCCAGGGTAGCTCAGGGCTATGGAAAGTGAGTCTGGGCACTAGGGAACAGAGACCTGCATGTTTCCAACTGGCATTTGTGAGCAGAGAGCAGAAAGGTGCACTGGAAAAAACCGGTCCTCCGTTCAAGGTACTACAGAGGTGGCCTCATTTCCCTAGGAGGCGAACTTCCTCCTGTCGGGGAATCCCTGGCTGGGAGGAGCAGGAGCCCTTTCTCTGGAAGACCTCAGGACATTCAGCAGGTGCTGGCTGGGAGATGGGGGTGGAAAGCTGCCCTGGAAGGAGGGCCCAGAGTCAGTAGGCTGGATACCAGGGCTGGGCATTTGAGGAATCTAGGCCCCTGGGTCCTGAGGAAGAATCCTGAAGTGGCTGAGGGGCTAGGGGCTGCTTCTTTGTCTTTGTCCAGAGCCTTATGTAAGAACTCTTCTCGGAAACAGGAAGTCCGGCTTGCCAAGTTCAGCACAGGGAGTAGTGTAAGCCTTATTCCAACACACCCGGGCCCAGCCTTAACCCCAGCACCCAGCCAGTTTGTCTCTGGTTTGCTCCCTGCCGACCCCTACCTCCCTTTTCTCACTTTCAGTCACCCCTAGAAAACTTCCACGGAGACTCTCCCATGCCAGGCCCAGAGGATCTTCTACACTCACCCCAGACACTGCCCAGCATGTCCCCCATCCCTGCTCCTGGCACCATGCCCCATAGCCAGCCAACCTTCCCTCCCCCAACTCTGGGGCCACCCCCACGTTCCTAAGCCCTGGCCGCTCCTCCTGGGTGTCACTGGCAGCCCTGTCCTTCCTAGAGAGACTGGCACCAAACTCTCCTGAGGCTGGGGGGAGTCTCAAGGTGACACTAGCTCCACAGCAGGGTGCCAGGAACACCAATAGTACCCCCAGCTTGCCTTCCCTCTCCCTCCTTTTTATTCTCAAGTTCCTTTTTATTTCTCCCTTGCATAACACCTTCTACACCACTGCCTGCACCCCCACCCTCCCCTCCCCAGCCACCTCCTTGCCACCCCATTCCTGAGGCCACAGCTGTTGGCAGGGTCCCTGGCTCATGCCAGTCTCACCTCCTTTCTCGCTAGCTCCTAAAGAGTCCCTGGGCAACATGGGTGGCACAGTTCGAGAGTCGGCACTCTCAGTTGCTCTCTGGTTGAGTTGGGGGGCGGCTCTGGGGGCTGTGGCTTGTGCCATTGCTCTGCTGACCCAACAAACAGAGCTGCGAAGCCTAAGGAGGGAAGTGAGCCAGCTGCAGAAGAGCGGAGGGCCCTCCCAGAAAGGGGAAGGGTATCCCTGGGAGAGCCTCCTTCAGCAGGTGAGTGAAGGGAAAGGGCAGTCTGGGGTGGGGTGGGGAGATGGGTGGCGGCGGGATCTCTGGGCCTCTTGGTTCCAATTTCCCAGTCTACAAAGTTTCAAGTGGATGCAAAGAGGGTCCTGAGTATAGAAGTCAGGGGAGCAGCCATTCCAGGAAAGGAAACTGTTAAAGATTAACACTTCTTTACCTGACAGATCTTGGAGGGCAGCCAGCACCAAGGCACAGAGTGCTGAGGAAAGGTGCATGAGAGATTTGAGGCATTCGGGGTATGGTGGAAACCTGAGAAGGAAGATCCTCTGGGACCCCTGCGTCTGGCTCTAATGCTGACCCTCTTTCCATGAGCAGAGTCCTGATGTCCTGGAAGCCTGGGAAAATGGGGAGAGATGGAGGAGAAGGAGAGCAGTGCTCACCCAGAAGCGGAAGAGTGAGCCCTTGGGCACAGTAGGGGTGGGAGGTGATTGTTCTGCATGGGGACCACAAGCCCAAGCCTGGGTAAGAGTGGAGGGTGAACACCAGGGCCCTTGGGTAGGGGGACACTGCTGAGATTTCCTCCTTCTCTCCCCAGAGAAGCGCTCAGTTCTACATCTTGTTCCCATTAACGTTACTTCCAAGGGTGAGCACTATTTTAAATAATGGCTTTGGGGGGCAGGCACAAACCAGGACCTTGGGGCTGGCACCTGGGCTCAAAAGAATCTTAAGAGATGTAAAGGGGAGAGCTGGTGTGTGTCTTAGAGTGCAAAGAAATCCTGACAGCCACACTCCTCACCTCCAGAGGATTCTGATGTGACAGAGGTGATGTGGCAGCCAGCTCTCAGGCGTGGAAGAGGTCTGCAGGCCCAAGGATTCGTTGTCCGAGTCTGGGACGCTGGAGTTTATCTGCTGTATAGCCAGGTAACCCCAGACATACCCTAGCTTCATGTGGGGGCCTGGAGGCTGGCTCTTTACTCTTCTCCCAGAGCCTGTATGTCCCATACTGAGGGTTCCTGATCTCTCTGTACCAAATGACTTCATTCCCCGGCTCCTTTATCAGGGCACCTAAGGCCTCTCAGAACTGAGCCATGCCATTCTGGTTTTCTTCAATATGTCCTCCCTTACCTGCCAGGTCCTGTTTCATGATGTGACTTTCACCATGGGTCAGGTGGTCTCTCGGGAAGGCCACGGAAGGCAGGAGACTCTATTTCGATGTATACGAAGCATGCCCTCTGACCCTGACAGGGCCTACAATAGCTGCTACAGTGCAGGTGAGAGCCATGTGGGCAGTGGAGGACAAATGTGAGCAGAAAAGGACCTACTAATCAGGGGTAGTGGTGTGGAGAACAAAGTAGGGGGTTGAAAGCCTGGGTGAGAGGGAGATCCGAGGAACAAAGGACACAATGCCTAGGTCCTGACAGAAAACACAGGAAAGGTGGAGCCAGAGAAGGCAGGGTGAAACATCAGTGATTGGATGACTGTGCTTCACTGAGCACCTGTTTTCTCTTTTCTCAGGTGTCTTCCATTTACACCAAGGGGATACTCTCAGTGTCATAATTCCCCGGGCAAAGGCGAAACTTAGTCTCGCTCCACATGGAACCTTTCTGGGGTTTGTGAAACTGTGACTGTTATAAAGGTCGTTCTGAGCTGGGAAGACCAGGGTGGGTAAATACTGGAGATGGCAGAGTGGGCTAGACAAAGATGGGGAATGATCAGGAAAAGAAACCTCTATTTGGGTTTGACTCTATGATTCTGTTCTTCCTTTTTCCTCTTCCACTCCCATATCCTAGACTGAGTTAACAGATATTAAAGAGGTAGAATATCTTGCTTTTATCTTCCATCCAGCCCTAAATTCTTGTGTTTGTGTGTGGAAGGGAGTTGGAAGGAGGGTGCCAGGCACTGTCCAGACCTGCTATGGGTCCACTGGAATGCATCCAGGACAGCACCACCATCTAGCGGCTGTTTGAGGGAATCATCCTACCTCTTGTCAGAAGTCCGGGAAGGCTCCTTCTGCTAGGGAAAATCCCTAGTTCCCTATGCCAAGCCTCTCTCCAGGTACCCTCTACTTTTTCACCTAACAATAAGTCTCAGCCTCACTTCTGTCTATTGGTAAAGATTTTTTTTTTGGTACCGGGGATCGAACTTGGGACCTTGCGCTAGCGAGGAAGGCGGCGGAACCACTGAGCTAAAATCCCCGGCCCACTTCTATTGGGAACCGTTTCCGTGACTATCTCCAGAGACACATCTATTATGCGTCCGTCTACAGGGGGTGCTCGACGACGAAGACAGGGGGGCCCTTTTTCAACCACCTTATTCTTCGGGTCTTATGTTTTGTCGTTCATGCTTTCCATTCCCGTGGCGTGGCAGGCCACCCCTCCGGGCTGGGACTGGTGCCCAGGGATCCCTGGATGTATCATATGCCCTGGCATTGCTCTTGCCTCAGTCCTCTTGAGCTCTTCTGCTCAAGCCTCGCTTAAAGTTAAATAAAAGAGAATGAGTGATACCCCGACTCCGTTTCCCCTAGTACCTCGGCTCGGGCCAGTCCTTGTAAAGGGACCTTCCTGCCCTATCTCCGTTCCCGTACGCCCCGCTGAACCAGCACTTTGGGGACCCCAGGCTCAAGACCACGCGCGCAGAATGCCCCCGAGGTACGCGCAGGGCAAGAGGCGGGACGCGACACGCAGGCGCATACGGGATACCGGTGGGGCCGCCACACGCAGCTAGATCGGCGGATGTGCGCAGGCGCAGCCTGGCGTGGCGCTCGGGGCCGGTAGGTCCCGTGGCACTACGTTCTCGGGTAGGCGGGGATTGGGAGCGTTTCGGCCGCGCCGGAGCCGTTCGCCGGGTATGACGTATTAATCGTGCGCCGCCACCGCCGGTGGGCCTGGGGATCGCGGGAGGGGGAGGAGGTGGGGGAGGTGGTAGTGGTGGAGGTGAAGGCTGAAGCCGAAGCCGAGCAAGAGGCGGCCGAGGTGGGGCGGCGCGGAGTGCGCGCGACCCAGAAGCGTTGGAAGCCTGAATTGAGACAGCGGCGCCTGAAGATAGCAGGAGTGGCGGGGCCGCCGCCGGCGCCTAGAAGATGAGCCGGGAAGCCTGAGGCGGAGACGCCCGCCCTCGGGCCTGTCCGCCCGGCTTCCCCGTTCCCGGTGAGGACTCCCCTTCCCCTCCTCCCTTGCCCTGTCGTGGTCTCTTCCATTCCTGGGCTTCGCTCCCACCTAACCCGGCCTAAGAGGCCTACGAAGGGGCTTTTTAAGGCTCTCGTGCGCAGACCGACCGAGCTTATAAGACCATACAGGTGCTAGGACGCGTTGTTGTCCCTGGGTTTGGGGCAGGACAAGGGCCAGTGCGACCTGGCTCTCGCGGCTCGGTTCTGTCCCAGCGCCTTGATTCGGTCACCTAAGCACCAATTTGATACCTTTCCAGTTTCCTTCAAGATCTTTACCCTTTCACCAGACTCAACCTCCTGAGCCATAACCCTGGTACTCCCATTTCCACTCGAGATGACCTCAGTCCACACACCTTCCCCACCTCATTAATTCCAGGGGGAAAGGAATTGAATTGTCTTTCCACAATGGAGCACAGTTTCGCTGTAAAAGTTGTGCTGTCCTCAGGTACCTCTACACAGCGTTAAGATTTCTGTGCTGAGCCATTTCCGTGAGCGGAATCACTCTTACAGTACTAGGCTCTCAAAGGACACTCCTGGTGAAATTAAAATAGAGAAGTAGGGCCTAAAAATACTGGGCTTCCCCCCAGGCTTCTGAGAAGTAACACCTCTGAGACCTGTGGCTTAGCCATTTTCCCTTGTCTCTACCTAGGCAAGGAAGAGATGATGACACAGACTCTAAAGGGCCCCTTCTGAGGCTGGGAAGAACTGAAACTACGAATTTGGGGGGGGGGGTTCTTACTTGCTTTGAATCCAGAGGAGGCATGCTGAGAATGAGGCATAATCTGGATGGGGAGGATACTTAGATTCTGATACTCTAACTTTCTCTTACAGGGTACTGGAAGATGAAAGAGACTATACAAGGGACTGGGTCTTGGGGGCCTGAGCCTCCCAGACCCGGCACAGCTTATTCAAGCCCCAGGCGGGAGCGTCTTCGTTGGCCCCCACCCCCTAAACCTCGGCTCAAGTCAGGTGGAGGGTTTGGGCCAGATCCTGGGTCAGGGACCACAGTGCCAGCCAGATGTCTCCCTGTTCCTCGGCCCTCTTTTGATGCCTCAGCTAGTGAAGAGGAGGAAGAGGAGGAGGATGAAGAAGATGAAGATGAGGAAGAGGAAGTGGCAGCTTGGAGGCTGCCCCCCAGATGGGGTCAACTGGGAGCTTCCCAGCGGCCTCGCCCTCCTCGCCCCACTCATCGAAAAACCTGTTCACAGCGCCGCCGCAGAGCCATGAGAGCCTTCCAGATGCTGCTCTACTCAAAAAGCACCTCGCTGACATTCCACTGGAAGCTTTGGGGGCGCCACCGGGGCCGACGGAGGAGCCTTGCACACCCCAAGAACCATCTCTCACCCCAGGAAGGGGGTGCAACGCCACAGGTGCCATCCCCCTGCTGTCGTTTTGACTCCCCCAGGGGGCCACCCCCGCCCCGACTGGGTCTGCTAGGTGCTCTCATGGCTGAGGATGGGGTGAGAGGGTCTCCACCAGTGCCCTCTGGGCCCCCCATGGAGGAAGATGGACTGAGGTGGACTCCAAAGTCTCCTCTGGACCCTGACTCGGGTAAGGTGGGAAAGGGGCCAGGGTGGAGTGGGGAGGGCTAAGAGCCTGGAGCACCAGGAACCTCTGCTGTGGTGAGAACTAAGCCTAAGGAAAGCAAGCTAAGAGGTCCAGAATAGCCGAAAAAATGTTTTCATTAAGCCTCACTTCGAGCAGGAAATAAGCCGAGGAGACACAGCTGAGAAACAATCCCTGTGTAAAGGGAGCTATGGTTTAGGAAAATCAGTCTTGTTTGCTTCAAATTCTTTTTCTGCCTCTCAAGAGCCCCTGTGTGTGTACATCTCCAAAAGGTACTTTTCTTGTGCTGGATTGGGATATCCCTTTAGGGGAGTATATCATCTATACATCTGTCTGTGACATTACTCAGAGAACTCTTCCCTTCAGAGAACTCTAGTTAAACAATTTAACATTTTTGTTAGTCAGGTACTTACTGAGGTTTTATTATATGCTGGGTAGTAACCTAGGTGTTAAACATATGCTCCTGAAATTTATGTCTTGTGTTTTCTTGCTTTTTTTCTATAAATAGGAACTCCCACTTTCTTTCCCTTTAAAAACTTTTGGACATCCTTGTTTTGTGCTTTGGGGTCACTATTCCTTAAAGTTTAAACTGGTAGATTGTGCTTCAATCCATCCTTGTTGTTTTATCAATTGTGTACATTAGTTAATCCTCTTTTTTTTTTCCTTTTCTTTTTTTGGTACTGGGGATCGAACTCAGGACCTTGCGCTTTCGAGGCAGGCACCGGAACCACTGAGCTAAATCCCCGGCCCAATCCTCTTGTTTTTTAACCGGGGTCAATTTCTTATCCCTATCCTGTTTCCCCTGCCTTATAGGTCTCCTCTCGTGTACTCTGCCCAACGGCTTTGGGGGACCACCTGGGCCAGAAGGGGAGCGCAGCCTGGCACCGCCTGATGCCAGCATCCTTATCAGCAATGTGTGCAGCATTGGGGACCATGTGGCTCAGGAACTTTTTCAGGGCTCTGATTTGGGCACTGCAGAAGAAGCAGAGCGACCTGGGGAGAAAGCTGGTCAGCACAGCCCCCTGCGGGAAGAACATGTGACCTGTGTGCAGAGTAAGCCCCAGAGAACCTAGTTTCCTTCCCTTGGACAATTCCTGGATGAGAGTCTCACTTCCCTCTCTCCTTCCTCCACTTAGGCATCTTGGATGAATTCCTTCAGACTTATGGCAGCCTCATCCCCCTCAGCACTGATGAGGTAGTAGAGAAGTTGGAGGACATTTTCCAACAGGAGTTCTCCACACCATCTAGGTGAGGTTTGAAGGACAGATGTCCTTCAAAGGAGGGCTGGGATCCAAGGTACGGGGAGAGAATGCTATTGCTTTTTCTCTCACAAGGGTATACTTGGGGAGGAGGAAGCTAGAGGTGAAGGGGAGGAATCTGCAAGCAAGGTGTCAAAGCTCTATAAGTCACCTGGGAGGGTCTCTACCAGGGACCCTGAAATATGTATTCATGTGCCTCTTTCTGGGGAATGGGCCTTTAGCAGGTCCTCAAAAGAACCAATGACAAGATGGAAAAATCATTTTAGATTCTTATTCAAGGCAGTAGTAGGTATTTCTGGAAGGTATTTCTGTATGTTCCATGGTCTCTCATCATCTGTTCTGTGGTTCCACCTTTGGTCTACTCAGGAAGGGCCTGGTACTACAGCTGATTCAGTCATACCAGCGGATGCCAGGCAATGCTATGGTGAGGGGCTTCCGAGTGTCCTATAAGCGGCATGTGCTGACTATGGATGACTTGGGGACCTTGTATGGACAGAACTGGCTCAATGACCAGGTGAGAAGAGGTAGAGAGACAGGTCTGAGAGGAGATTCAGGGAGCAGGGTGTCTGGGGCCCTCTCCACGAAGAGCCCTGTACCCATGTCACACCTCCCATGGCAAGTTGCCTCCAATCTTCTTCCCAGGTGATGAACATGTATGGAGACCTGGTCATGGACACAGTCCCTGAAAAGGTAGGCCCACTAAGATACTTCACTCCCCAGAAGAATTTCTGTAATTCTAAGCAGGTTTTTCAGTCCCCTTCATCTCTTCCATTTTATATAAAGAAGGTCTCTTTCTGGGGGAGGGGTAGTAGGTATTACTCTATTTCAAATCTTTAAGCTTGGTCCTGAATATATCAATTCTTTTCTACCAGTCTTTGGTGTTTTATCCTATGGCTAGCCCCAAGAATTGGGATGGGAACCTCTCTATAAGCAAAGGATAAAAACAGTAATTTTTTTGTTAGTGGGGGTTGTTAGAAGCAGTCCTTAGAGCCATATGAAATGGAGTGGACTGCGAGATGGGAGGGGAAACTTGGCAGGTAGCTCTAAGGTCTTTTTATTTTATTTAATTTTTCATACTGGTGATTGAAATTTGGGACCTTGCACTTGCAAGGCAGCCAGCACCACCACTGAGCTAAATCCCCGGCCCTGCTCTGAGATCTTTTAATTCCATCCAACTCTTTTGTGTCATTGGCACAGGTGCATTTCTTCAACAGTTTCTTCTATGATAAACTCCGTACCAAGGGTTACGATGGGGTGAAAAGGTGGACCAAAAATGTGAGTTATGAATTCATATCTACTTGTGTAACACCTTGGACCTAGAATTAGACTTTTGTTTTCTATAAGCCCTTTTCTCAACCCTGTTCAGTCTTCCAACGATTGTGTGTGCTAGGCACTGTTTTAGACACTGAGGATACAATATTAAAGGAAATTTCTTGCCTTTATGGAGTAAGAATAAGTTATATTTCAGTTAGTGATAAATGCTGTGGACACGTTAAAACAGTAATATGATGGCTTTGTGTGTGTGTGTGGGGGGGGTTCTTAGGGTCAAACCTAGGGCCTCACATGCTAAGCAAGTGCTGTACTACTGAGCTATACTCCCAGCAATAATGTGATAGCATGGAAAGTCATACTTTGTTTTGGATGGTCTAAGGTCTCCCATAGCTGAGACTTAAATGATGAAAAGCTAGCCTTTAGCTCAGTGGTTCTGCCGCCTGCCTCGCAAGCACAAGGACCCGAGTTCGATCCCCGGTACCAAAAAAAAACAAACAAAAAACGGCTAGCCATATGCAGAACTGGGGAAAGAGTGTTCTAGGCAAGTATCTGAAACCCAAAGAGAAAAAACCTAATTGAGGGACCTAAAAGAGGTCCTAAAACCTAAAAGAGGGTGTTCTGTTGTATGGGTGGCCTATGTGATTGGAGCAGAGTGAGCAAAGGGAGTGTACCGCCATGCCCAGCTCTTGTATTTTTGAGACAAGAGTGAATCTTGCTTATGTAGTTCAGGCTGGCCTTGAACTCATGATGGTCCTTCTGCCTCAGCCTCCTGAGTGTTGGGATTATAGGATACACTACCATGTCCAGCCATATATATATATATATATATATATATATATATGCATATTGTCTTTTTTTTTTTTTTAAGAGTCATAGCTCCTGAGAGATAGGAGGGGTCCCGAATGGGTTGTCCTATATAGTCCATTTTTAATTTCTGTCTCCAGGTTATAATCGTTTATATACTCGGACCTGGTGGGTTTCTTTCAGTAGAGGCAGGGGTGACATACAATGAAAAGAAATTAGTTTTTTGTATGCCCATGGTGAAAATCTTTCCTCTTAGCCAGGCATGGTACTACATGCCTGTAATCCCAGCACCTAGGAGGCTGAGGCAGGAGGACTGAAGTGAGTTCGAGGTCAGCCTGGACTACATTGTGAGACCTTCTCAAAAAAAAACACAAAAAAATCCATTCTTCTTAGTTTAGTGTGGTGGCATAGACCTGTAATCTTAGCTCTAGGAGTCTGAGGCAAGAGTAGCTACAGAATGAGACCCTGTTTCAGAAAACAAATCAACAAAAATTTTGCAATTTTTTCTATGACCTTGAGCAAGAAGTTACTGCTGTTCCCGGACATGGTGGCACATGCCTGTAATCTTAGCACTCTGGCAGGCTGAGGCAGGAGGATCACTGCTAAGTTCAAGGCCAGCCTGGGCTACACAGTGAATTTAAGACCAGTCTGAATTACATAGTGAGGCCCTATCTCAAAAAACCAAAAAAAACCCACCAAAAAAAGAAGTTACTGCTATTTCCTTATCTGCTAGGTTAAACGTGACAATTTGTGCTAGGATTATTGTGAGCATTAACTGATTAAGCATTTACTTTGCTCTTTGTCCTTACCTTCCTCTCTTAAGAATCTAAATGTCTGGAAGGGGATTTAGCTCAGTGGCACCAAGCCTGCCTTGCAAGTACAAGGTCCTGAGTTCTATCCCCTGGTACTGGAAAAAAAACAAAACAAAACCTAAAAAATCTGAATGTTTAGGTGCAGAGCCTTACGTCACAATTCAGGGCCCAGGTCTGGTGTCGTTCCACTTGGTTTTCTTGCCTTCTTATTTCCTTTTTCAAACCTTTTGGCAATTGCCAGGATCCTTGTGTGTTGTGTCTGACCTCTGGGCTCTTTCTTCAGGTGGACATCTTCAATAAGGAGCTATTGCTAATCCCCATACACCTGGAGGTACATTGGTCCCTCATCTCTGTTGATGTGAGACGACGAACCATCACCTATTTTGACTCACAGCGCACTCTAAACCGCCGTTGCCCTAAGGTTTGAGGGGTAGAGGGAGGACAAGGTAGAATGTGGGGAGATCCCAGTGCAAGGCATTCCTGGAAGAAAGGTGGACTTTGGGTCTCTGAGGCATGACCTGGCTATGATGTCCATGACCTGCCACCATCATACCCTGGGCTCAGTTGACTTAACTTTATCTTTTTCCTCATTCACATAGCATATTGCCAAGTATCTACAGGCAGAGGCAGTGAAGAAAGACCGGCTGGATTTCCACCAGGGCTGGAAAGGTTACTTCAAAATGGTGAGTTTCCAAGGGGAAGGGAATGAGGTGATGGTAGGGGTAGGTGTAGGAGGCAGAAATTTAAGTCTTATCCCTGGGAGTCTCCCAAGTGAATGGGGTCTTCCCTTCTGTTCTCTAGAATGTGGCCAGGCAGAATAATGACAGTGATTGTGGCGCCTTTGTGTTGCAGGTAAGATGATTGGGTCCTCCTCCTCCGGCTCTGGAGTCATTTGAGTTAGTGTTGGGAGGCAGTTTCCTCATTTAGTTCACAATCAACTGTGGGGCAATGAGTAGCCTTATGTATTAGAACATAGAAACTGGCTTTCTCCATCCCACAGTGAGACTGGTCTCTGGCCCTTGGCTCTGGCTGATAGAGCTACCTCCTAAACCCTGGCTCAATGTATTTTGTCCCACTTACACCCTGGGTTAATTATGTAGTAAGAGCAGTAGTTTTAGAGTCATGCTGTTTTTGAACCCCAGACTATGAGACTGTGAGACCTAGGCTTCCTGTGTGTGTGAAATGGGGTCTGAGACATAGGGCATATGAACTATGTAGCATGGGTCCTGATTTGGGAGGGATGTTCAGTGGATGGTTCTCATGACCTGCTTTGTTAATGCTCAGTACTGCAAGCACCTGGCCTTGTCTCAGCCATTCAGCTTCACTCAGCAGGACATGCCCAAACTTCGTCGGCAGATCTACAAGGAGCTGTGTCACTGCAAACTCACTGTGTGAGCCTTGTACCCCAGGCCCTGGGCCCATTAATGGCCAGGGGGACATGGGAGACCCTTCCCAAGAAACTCCAGTTCCTTTCCTCTTGCCTTTCCCCTCCCAACGCCCTCTCCTTTTCATATTTAAATGTTTTGATTTCTGTATTTTTTTTTCTTTGAGAGAATACTTCTTGATTTCTGATGGGCAGGGAGTGGCCACAGAAAAGCTCTTTTCTTCCTCTTTGCAGAGGAGTACTGCCTTGTGGCCTGGGTGGTGCAGTCATCCCCCTTCCATGCACAGGTGGCAGGAAATCCTTGTGGGGTGGGGGGGGCAAAGGGATTACTGCCTGCCAGATCTTCAGACTTTTTTTTATATATATATATATAAATGCCACGGTCCTGCTCTGGTTAATAAAGGATCCTTTGGAGATATGTAAGTGGTGGTCTTCCTTAAAGGGCCTCAAATTAGCCGGGTGTGGTGGTGCACGCCTGTAATCCTAGCACTCGGGAGGCTGAGGCAGGAGGATCAATCGCAGCAAGTTCAAGGCCAGCCTGAGTTATATAGCAAGACCTTTTCTCAACCGAAAACAAAAAGGGACTCAAACTAATGGATATGCTCTATTTCAGGCCTTCCAGCCTGTGCTATTGGACCCCTTTTGGGGCCTTGAGACCGCAGAAGCCAGCTTCTCAAATCTGAGTCAGGCAATGCTATCACCTTATCTACATGACCCAAGTAAATCCCCAGGCTAGGGAGCAGAGGGCAGGGAGAAGGGAGAGTAAAGCTTCAAATGCAAGGGCCATCGGGAAGGTTGGGGGACAGGACTGAAAGAGCCAGCCAGGGCTACCCGACATGCTCTGAACCTAGAAATACATCCACTGCCTCTTCCTCCCAGCCAGAGGAATCCTCCCAGCACCTGGGATATTGCGTCGGATTTTGTCATCCCTGCTATTTAAGACACGCCTGGGCGTCGTATATATCCTATAAAGGAGAACGAAAATAAAATTCGGGTACTGTGGAAACACGGAGCAGAGGAAAAGGGAAGTGGAAGTCCTGGGAGTCCGGAAGTCCCTGGAGGCTGAGGCCTCGCCCCCTCCCGTGATTGGGTCTCCTGGGACACGTGACCGAAGGCACGACCACCTCGGCACGTGTAAGGGTTCAGGGCCGCAAGATGGCGGCCAGGCCTCGAGGCCTGGCTCCCATATGTCACTTCCGTACCGGCAAGAAAGACGGGCCCCCTAACCAATGAGGTGGCGGGGCGGGCCTTCACTTTGACAGGCGCCCAAGCTGCCCAGTGGTGGGTGCCAGTTAGAGCGCCTAGGAACTAACGTCATGCCGAGCTGCAGAGAGGTAGCAGGCGGGGACCAGGCTGCCAGGCCAATACGATAGCCGGGGCGGGGTCGAGGGCTCTATAAGTTGTCGATAGGCGGGCACTCCGCCCTAGTTTCTAAGGATCATGTCTGCGAGTCAGGATTCTCGGTAAGAAAAGCATTTGTAAGAGGTTTTGGTTACTTACCCTGCCGCTCCCTTCAGAGGGCCCTTCCGTGGGGAGGTGAAAGGCCCACCGCCCCAGGCCTATCATCAGGGTTGCGGGAAAGACCCAGCGGGAGGAACCGTCCGGGTGTGGGGTGAGGGGAAAGATCCATGGACGATGTTGCCACTGGGGTCGAGGCAGAGGGAAGGACAGCTCGGCTAGGGCCGAGTGCACGAGGTTCTTCGCGAGGCCTACACCCGGAGCGCTGCCGTGCGCGTGTCCCTGGCGCTGAGTGGCGAGACGTCGCGACTTAGCGTGGGGAAGAGACAGAGGCGGCTGCACGGTCCGAGCCGGCCGGTCCGGTCACCTCCCTGTGCCGGGGGAGGGCTGGCGCGCGGGGCTCCGGAAGGTCCTGACTGTACCACTCGCGAGGGGCGGGGGAGCCTCGATCCTCGGCAAGTCGCTTCGTCGCGGTTGTAACGTGGGTCGGGGGAGAAGAAACCAGCCGTTCAGTGTGCTGGTTTTCTTGACGGCCAGGACTGAGCCTAACCCCGTGGAGCGGCCGCGTGAGGCACCAGGAGCCCACCCGGCGTCGGGCGGGCGGGTCCATTTTGCCGCACAAGCCGGGCAATTGGCAAACTGCGGATGGGCAGGTCCACTTTCCTTCGGGGGTGAGTGGCCTGAGGTATGGGAGGGCGACGCCATTTCGCGACGGGGGCGGGCGGGATGTGGATTGTTCTGTGGGTGGGGGTGAGACGCCGCTGGGTGGTCGAGGGAGCGAGCACATGGCGGCCTGAGGGGTTCCCCTCCCCCAGTCTGCTTCGCTTCTAAGTGTTGTGCAATCTCCCCCTTTGCTAGCTCGGCTGGGGCTCATTGTGCGTGAGGCCGCCACCGCCCGCGGCCTCCCACATCCGGGCACTCCGAGGGGGGGCTCGGCTGGAGGGAGTGGGGGAGGGCGCGGGCGGAATGACGTGGGGGAAGGGGATGTCCTACCCTCCATCTGGGCGATGAAGGGCGGGACTTCCGGCGCGCTGATGCTGCGGTGGGAGGTGCACGCGCTTGGGCTTTGAGCAGCCGGGCCCTGCACACGTGGGCCTTGCAGCAAGCACTGCATCTTGGCCACTTTTGCGCGGCGGCATGCCTTCCGGCCCCTAAGGTTCTCAAAACTGAGGTTACCTCATCATGTCGGGTAGGGGCGGCCCACCCTGAGCCGCCCCCGAGATGGGGCAGGGCAAAGGCCTGCCTCAGTTCTAAAAGTGACTTGAGTGTCTTAGGAACTGGTGGGAGTTGGGTAGATGAAGGCTGATGGCATCATGCATGACCAGTTGCCAAAGTGCTTCATTCAGGCAGGGAACAAAACTCAGGATTTAAATCAACAGATCCAGAGACAATGGCCCAGATGGGATGGAACCTGAAGGCGTCATCGAGGTGAGACTGCAACCTGGCACCATTTCTGCAGAAAGGACAGTGCCACTAGCAGTGCTTCTTTGTTCCTGAAATGATAGTTAAGGGACTCAAGTCTTATCTTCAGTATAGCTTATTGTGGGAAATCTTAAAACGTTCAAGATGTCTGTAAAATATGTTGCTTGAGTCCTGTTTACTGTAGAACTCCCCACTTCCTAGTTACGTGTAGTTGAGTGGACCTGGCCCCTTAAGAGAGTCTTACCTAGGGCTGGGGATTTTGCTGAGTGTTTTCGTCGCCTGCTGCACAAGCTCAAGGACCTGAGTTCGTTCCCCGGTACCAAAAAAACAAAACAAAACAGTGTTTATCTAGCTGTCAAGAACCAGTTGGCTTCCCTGAAGGATAAGGAGAGGCTGTGGGACTTCGATGCAGACACCAGTTCTTGTTTGCACAGCCCCTCCTTTTCCACTGTTTAGGCTTTAATTTTTTTGCATCTTGTAGAGTAATTGGAATGAGATTGTTGACAGCTTCGATGACATGAACCTCTCAGAGTCCCTCCTCCGCGGCATCTACGCCTATGGTTTTGAGAAACCCTCTGCCATCCAGCAGCGTGCCATTCTTCCTTGTATCAAGGGTGAGATTTCACAGCCCCAGAATGTAGATATGAACTGTCTCTGATCTGGATAGGACAGCATTGAATTGGTAGTTCTCTCATCTCATGTCTACCAAGGGCAAAACAATTCCTTGCTCATCCCAGCTTGATTTTTGGTCTATGGCTGTATCTGGTTCATGCCTTAGACACATGGGTTGCTGGGTTTTCTTTAAGATAGTGTCATTCAGCTCATATTTAGAGTTGTATTTCTAGCTTAACTTGTAGTATTAAATGAGCTAATGACCTGACGTTGCCTTTTCGTCTGTTCTTATTGTCTCACTATATTGTGGTAAGGTGATTTTAAAAAGCATTTAAATACTAGGTTTGTAACTGTTGGTGCTTTTATTGATCTTATGAAGCTGGACTTTCAGTGTCTTGCCAAAGTGTATGCCATCTACCATATGTAATTCCTAATTTATCTCTTCAGGTTATGATGTGATTGCTCAAGCCCAGTCTGGGACTGGGAAAACGGCTACATTCGCCATATCAATTCTGCAGCAGATTGAGTTAGATCTAAAGGCTACCCAGGCTTTGGTTCTGGCTCCCACTCGAGAATTGGCTCAGCAGGTAAGAGTATGGCTTCTTCCCCTCTTCTGAAGGCTGATTTAGCAAGGACAAGTATAATGTAAAAGTGAAGTGGTTTCTCTGGCCAATAGAGTGAAGAGATGCTTGGGGCAAAAGAAAGGGGTTGATGGCATGTAGCTGTCAGGCTCTGTTTGGTTTAATTATAACCTGTTTCTGGCCCAAACATTACAACTGCCACTTACTCCACCCATTTCCTGAGTCAAATGGGAAGGCTGCTGGGTGGGGTCTGGCTAGTGGGGTGAGTTTGGTGGGTGTTTAATGAAGAAAACCCCTGGCAATGGGCAAAGAGACACCTAATTGGTGGTGGTGTTTCTTGTATCAGTCAGGGGCAGAGCAGATGACAGTCCTTTGTTCATCCTAGCTTGATGCCTGGATTGGTGGCCAAAGCTGTTTCATGCCTGGGGCACATAAAATCCTAATGTTGGCCTCTGTTGTCTTAGGTCTTAAAGGGGAATGAATTAAACTTTGGACTTGTAGATTAGTAGCAGATGTAGTGATTATCTTGACGGGAACTTGGGGCACAAATACTGTAAAGTGTAGGATATGTGTCCTGTTTTATGAGTGAGAAACAGTTGCTCAGGATTTTTTATGAATCAGTGTGTACTCAGGAAGCAGAAATCAAATCCTGTCTGTCACTCCAGGCCCTTGATGGCAAACCTTTTAGAGCTTTCAATGATAACAAAAAGCCTGCTGCAGCACAGTATCATAGGTTTGCCACCACTTTTCTAGGCAGTATGGTCTTGAGAGAATTATTGGTTGCCTTTTGCCCCTGGTTCTCTCCGAAAATGGGTTTCATAGTAGTGCATATTTCATAAGCATTAAGATTAATAATAATAACTAGGGCCTAGCTGGCCATGGTGGTGCACACCTATAATCCCAGTGGTTGAGTCAGGAGGATCATTAAAGTAAGTTCAGGCCAACCTGAACTGTCAAAAGAAAAATCAACCACTTAGTGCGGTCAGTTAGATGAATACCTTTTTCTCTCTGGGTTCAGATACAAAAGGTGGTTATGGCATTGGGAGATTACATGGGTGCCTCGTGTCATGCCTGTATTGGGGGTACCAATGTGCGTGCTGAGGTACAGAAGTTGCAGATGGAAGCTCCCCATATCATCGTGGGAACCCCGGGCCGTGTGTTTGATATGCTTAACCGGAGATACCTGTGTGAGTACTCAGCAGTCCCCTGGTTCATTTTCGTCTAGTACATGCTTTCCCAGGCATTGTTTAAACCAAGTCTCATTTCCAAGGATGCTAGTTTTCCTTTTCCCTAAACTAGCTGCTTTATGATGAAGCCCATGCGTGTCATCTGAGCCTGACTTTCCTCTTTTGGCCCAGGTAGTGTTCTACTTCCCAGGGCTGTCATGTTGGCCTGTCAGGGAAGTCATGGGCAAAGGATCATTCCTTAAATTCTGAGAGCACCTCCACCCCCTGCCCCGCTTTAATCCAAGAGGAATGGGTGAATTTTACATTTCTCTAACTATTACTTATTGGTATTTTTATTTGCCCTTTAGCTCCCAAATACATCAAGATGTTTGTGCTAGACGAAGCTGATGAAATGTTGAGCCGAGGATTCAAGGACCAGATTTATGACATATTCCAAAAGCTCAACAGCAACACCCAGGTGAGAAAAACTTGGATCTAGATTATGGTGTGGCCTGGTTAGGTTAAAGGGCGACAGATATTTTAGGACATATCATGGATTGTCTTTTTCCAATAGGTGGTTTTGTTGTCAGCTACAATGCCTTCTGATGTGCTAGAGGTGACCAAGAAGTTCATGAGAGACCCCATTCGGATTCTGGTCAAGAAGGAAGAGTTGACCCTGGAGGGTATTCGCCAATTCTACATCAACGTGGAACGAGAGGTGGGGTGCAATGTGGGAGGCGGTCTGGTGGAAAGGTGCTGGGTATTGCCCCTGACTGATTTTTTTTTTCTCTCCCTATCTCCAGGAATGGAAGCTGGACACATTGTGTGACTTGTATGAAACCCTGACCATCACCCAGGCAGTCATCTTCATTAATACCCGAAGGAAGGTTGATTGGCTCACTGAGAAGATGCATGCCCGAGACTTCACTGTCTCTGCCATGGTGAATTTTCTCCTTTGTCAAAAACTGGTGGGTCAGTCCCATATTTTCTCAGAACCCCTGTGCCTACCAATTCCATACACCCTTTCCTCTTGCATCTTATAGCATGGAGATATGGACCAAAAGGAAAGAGATGTGATCATGAGGGAGTTCCGGTCTGGCTCTAGCAGAGTATTGATAACCACTGACTTGCTGGTGAGTAGAAAGGCATTCTGAAGATAAGAAAGAAAGGAAGGAGAATCCAAGGTGATTCCCTCTCCAAGGGGCCAACTAGTGCCCCTTTCAGGAAAGTAGCAACTTGGAAGAAAATCTGGCATGCCCAAGGTTTCAGGGAGACAGAGGATAATTATTTCCTATACCTTCCTTTGGCTGCCAACAGGTGTATTATTGAAGTCCTTCTGGATACATTGTATCCTTATTCATACTAAATGTACCATCTTTTTTACACTTAGGCCAGAGGCATTGATGTGCAGCAGGTTTCTTTAGTCATCAATTATGATCTTC